CAGGTGTACATCATTGTACTTCTATTTCTGCATAGATTACATCATGTTCACCACCAAAATACTAATTACAACCCATCACCACACACATGTACCCAATTATCCCTTTCACCCTCCTCCCTCCCCCCTTCCCCTCTGGTAACCTTCTTCTAATTTACACAGAAAATAGCAGCCATCAGATGAAATCTCTCTCAACTTTCTACCACCTCACCTCCAAATTTACCTATAGCACTGAATTTTTTTCCTTCTATCACAATGGAAATATATCCCTCCTTTTGTCTAAAGTTAGGCTTCAATACCCTATCTGGGCAGGAGCCTTGATTTGATCATTGTTCCCAGAAGGATTTCTTCTAGGCCCTCTATTTGATCATCTGACACTCTTCTGGGCATTTCCCGTGGCTTCAAATTTTTATGTGCAACTAGGCTTCTCCCAGGAATTTAAGACTCGTATATCCAACTGTGTTCTGAAGTCTTCTACTTGAAGTTTACACAGACACCACAAAATGAAGATGTTGAGGTGTTAAAGTCGTCATCTCTTCCCCGAAGTAGGTCCTCTTCATAGGTTGCCTTATCTCACTGGATCCACTTGGATTGACAAGGCAGAAATATGAGCGACATTCTACACTCAGAGCACTCCCCAAATCCCAACATCAAATCCGTCTCTAAACCCTGCTGGTTTTACCTCCAGAACATCTCTCAAATCCATCCCCTATCTCCCTTCCTTGCCGCCACATGACTTCAAGTCACTATCATCTCTTGTCTGGGCTACTGCAATAGCCTCCTAATTGGTCTCACTGTTTGTTCACTTTAAAAAGACTTAGTGGTATGAAAAATTTCCAACGTACACAAATGTAAAGAAATTAATATAATGAACCTCCATATTCCCATCTCCCCAGAATTAACAACATTCTGCCCTCTCTGCCTGTCTTTGCATTGCCCCTTTTCAACCCATTATCCACATTTCCCCTCTGCTTCCGGTGTCATGTTTCTGAAGCTCCAATGTTACCATGTCGTAATTCTGCTTAACAGTGTACAGTGGCTTCCCCTTGTCCTAAGGATCATGTCCACATTCCTTATATGGCCACAATGTTCTGCATGATCTGTCCCTTCACACTGTTCCAGCCACATCTCCTACCTAGCCCCACACTTATAATTTTCCAGCTTCACTGGCCATTTTTTATTTCCTTAAACATGCCACAACTTCAACCAGCGAATTCCCACATAGCCTTCAGGTCTCATTTTAAATATTCCTTCCTGAGGGAAGTATTCCCTAATCTGTTAGGTGAGGTTAGATTCCCTTCATTAATAGCTAATACATATTGAATGCTTTCTTAATAATCATCTAATTTAATCCATAGAGCACCTCTATGAGATAGGTAGTGTTATTATTATTAATATTCCCATTTTACTAGATAAGGAAACTGAGGCACAAAGAGCTTTTATTATCTTGTCCATAATCACACAGTGGGTGGAAAGACAAGCCATTGTGCCTGAGTCCTTACTCCTCCTCCTCACGATATACTCTAATGGCGGCCTGGAGAGCTGATCCCGGGCTGAGTTAATGAGGGGATTGGGCAGCTCTGGAGCTGAGTCCTATGTCATGGGACTGTCTTTGTGCCTGTGTACACAGACAGGAGTAACTGCAATGTCAGGGTTGTGACTGAGACGTAGCATTCTACCCAGGTCCCCACTTCCATTGACAGCGATGCTTTTGGATGATGAGTATTAGGATGTTAAGGCTATAGAATCTGGATGCTAAGGAGAACTAATGTTAATAGATTGTATTGCATTGAATACATTTTCACCAGAAAACATTTTAAAGCATTCCTCTCCCAGCCTCTGCTGCAGCAGACTTTCCTTGAATGTTCCCACCTTTGCTTAGGGGTTTTCCTGCTGTTTTCAGGTGGTTGAAAGTTACTGCCTCCTGTTAGAGATGGCTATATAGAGAGGAAACATACTTTGCCCGGTACATGAAAACCTTCTTACTCTGTTATTTTCGAGCATAGCGCAGCTCACCCGAGTATGGAGCCATGGTTTTAGTGGGGGTGTTGTAAATCATAGAACCATCAGAGAGACAGGGCCCCCAAACACAGCAAGCGTCAGAAAGGATAGTTACATTCACTGCACTATGTGGGTTCCCATAACTATAGGGAGAAACTAAAGAACATATTATGATTTTGGATCTTGCACAATTTTGGGGGAAGTTTCTTCTCTGCGCACATTCTGATGGCATGATTTTGTAGGTGGCGTGTGGTTAATACAATCTGCTGAGAGTCTTTTAGCCAAGATTTTACTCCTGAGTGTTTGCCCAGAGCTTTAAAAGACCCAAGGTTCCTGGAGGCTGGGTTCTGGCTCCTGTAACACATTCCCGTAACCAGGTCCCACTCCTCTATCAGAGATGGCACTCTGCCAGTCTGCTCTTTCTTTGACTCCTAGTACGCTGACCTTAAATGAATTTCTCTCCAAGAAGCGTCTGTAAAATTGCATTGGTTTACTCTGCCCGCAGGAACCAAGGACCTGCATGTACTCCATTGCCCTCCAACCAGTTTTGTCCTCAAGAAGAGGTCATAGCATATTCATAAATAAAGACTTACCAGCACCGATACATCCTCTGTAGTTTCTTTGGGCTTAGGATAAATGAAAGGCATTATATTAATTTTAAACTTATATAAGGAGTTTCCACATTTAAGATGACTAGAGTTATATTCCATCAATCCATTTTATTACCTAATATTACCAAATATTTAATGAACACATAATATCATGGAGGGAATGTTTGCCTTCGCCTCAAATTCATATGTTGAAATCCTAACCCCCAACGTGATGGTATTAGGAGATGGGGCCTTTGAGAGGTAATCAGGTCATGAGGTTGGAGCCCTCATGAATGAGATTAGTGCCCTTATAAAAGAGACCCCGGAGAGCTCCCTCACCCCTTCCACCATGTGAGGACACAGCAAGAAGATGGCCATCTATAAACCAGGAGGAGGCCTTCATCAGATACCAAATCTGCTAGTGGTTTGATCTTGGACTTCCCAGCCTCAAGAACTGTGAGAAATAAATTTCTGTTGTTCATAAGTCATACAGTCTATGGTATTTTGTTACAGCATCTTGAAGAGACTAAGACACATGCTATGTGCCAAGTACATTGCTGGTTATAGAGATATAGTACTGAACATGATAAAAATCACTGCAGTTAAGGACCTCATATGCTCTTTCTTAAAAAACAACAATAACAATGAATTCTGTGAGGTATAAATGAAAGAGAAGCTTGCTTAATATCATTAAAACAATGAAATTTGCTAATTGCCAATGAAATCTTTCTATTAGTCTCAAATATGCAGAGGGCAAATACCATACATAGTTCCTGGAGTCACCAATATTAGGGATTTTTTTAAAGAAGATGCCACCTATTTAAAAAAGGCAGTTTCTCTATAACATTTACATTTACTAACATTACACTGCCATAATTACAAGGTAACTGTCTTGGTAGCTTAACATTGCTTCTCCTCACACATATGGGCCTGCAAAAATTACATTTAGCTTTGTTCCCATTAGAAACAAAGAATTTTTATGCTGAGGCCATGTTTATGCTGATATATTTGGATATCATTTGGGTATATTTGGATTGATACATTTGATGCTGATTTATTCAGCATCCACCTTTCTGACATAAGCCTGTCCCCCTTCTGACATGCCAGATCCTTACCAAACACCAGAATAAAATATTCATTAACTTTTTAAAGTTACCTGATATGATACTTTCTATGTAAGGCCCATAGAAACAATAAAAGCAATAACAATTGAATTGTTTTTCTTTTGTATCTCATCCTTTCCTGGGAGGAAAAAGAAACAGGGTAAAGGTAGATTAAATAAACTACAATGTATACAGAGTAAGCTGTGTTGAATCCTGCCAATCCATGACTTAAACTAGATGATTTAATAGCTGTTGGCTAGGATTTAAGGCACCATCGGTCCTTGGATGTCTCTCTAAATGAAAATAGAATTGAGTCAGTGGAGACACGGTTTATTTGAGCTACCTGCCCAAAATGTTAGGACGTCAGCTGGTCTAAGCTGACCTTGATACAGGAGGTCTTATAACCTTCATTTGTCTTTTCTCAAGTACAAAGAGCTTTTTTTACAGAAAGGAAAAATACAAATACCATGTCCCAGCCTAACTCACAGGGTGAGGTGTCAGAGAAAAGAGATAGTTATGAAAATACTTAAAGAGTTGTATAAGAATTATTATTTTTAATTAAATAATATTATGAAGTTGATCATTCCAAGAAAGATGATAAGACTGATAACAGCATTAAATATATGCCCCTTCTCAAAAGTATTTTAATATAAAAGTGATTCAGAGCACTGACTGGAGGCTAAAGTATAATTTTTAGATTATTTGTGCTTTGACCTTGGAATTTTCGCCATCAAGTTTACAAAACTCCTTTGTGATGTTTAATCTATGCAATATGAAATTGTCTGTGTGCAGAAAAGGAATTGGATGTGGCTCAATTTTGATGAAATTAAGGACAAACTCTTACCTTTTGTTTTCCTAAGATCACAGGAATTTTATACAGCTTCTTCCTTGGAGATTTAACATTTATGGTGTAGTGGTTTGGGAAGATATGTGGAGAATCTTAAGAGGGCAGACAGTTTTCAAGCAGGACATTTTGAGGCCTTTCAAAAATCATGAATCAGATCACTTACTATTGGTTCTATAGCACTCTCTGGTTTGTGTGTTTATTATTTCAGGCTTCTGTGAAGGATGATGTCATCAGATTCTCTTTTGATGATGAAATAACTAGATACTTGTAATCATAACAATTCATGTGCCAGTAGCTTCTCTTTGTCATTACCAGGGGACTAGATTTTGTCCTATTTGAAAAAACATAGGATGATTTAAGTTCCTTTCTTTTCTTGGGGATTTTTTTTAAAGATTTTTTTTATTTATTTATTTTCCCCCCAAAGCCCCAGTAGATAGTTGTATGTCATAGCTGCACATCCTTCTAGTTGATGTATGTGGGATGCGGCCTCAGCATGGCCAGAGAAGCGGTGCCTCGGTGCGCGCCCGGGAATCGAACCCAGGCCACCAGCAGTGGAGCACGCACACTTAACCACTAAGCTACAGGGCCGGCCCTATAATACATTTTTAATTGAAGTATAATTTACATAAAATAAAACATGCAATTTAAGTACGGTTTATTGGATTAGTTACACATGTACATGTGTGTATAAAACCCACTTTAATTAAGATATAGAACATCTCCATGAGCCCAGTAACTTTTCTTGTGCCCCTTTGAGTCACTACCCTCCCCCATCCAGGAAACCAGTGTTCTGATTTCTATCACCATAGCCGAGTTATTTCTGCTATAAAACTTCATATAGATAGAATTGTACGGCATGCAGTCTTTCCGTTTGGCTTTTTTCACTCCAAGGTTTTTCAATTCACCCATGTTGTTGTGTGTATCTCACATCATACAAGAAATTAATTCAAAATGAATTATAGATCTAAGCATAAAAGCTAAAGCCACATGCTTTTAGAGAAAAACATAGGAGAATATCTTTGTAACTTAGGGATAGATATAGGTCTCTTAGCTGACAGAAAACAGCAACTAAAAAATGATAAATTATACTTCATCAAAATTAGAAAACTTCTGCCCATCAAAAGACACCATTAAGAAAATAAATAAGTAAGCCATTACTATTCACCAATGTTTTACAGTTACCTGAAATAATACATACCATACATGATCTATGCAGGAAATAAAATCCATATCCATGTTAGAAATTTCCTATTGATTTCCATTCTTCCTACAAGGAAAAAGAGGAGGTAATGAAGGAGGATAATTAAATTAATACAGAATTAGAGTCTGTTTTAGGTCACAGTAGAGTAGATTATAGCAGAGTAATGCTCCCATAGATGACAGTCATAAGCTCTGGATGAAAAAAAAAAAAGTTAAATAAAACTATTTGAAGGCAAAGGAGTGGGACCAAAAACAGGCTATCTTTGAAGGAGGGAAGTATATTGGGTAAAATTCACATTTATACAGCTTTTCATTTGAGGTTATCCCCAATTCACACAGAGCTCGGTGGCTAGAACTCACATGGAAGGACTTGAGGAGTCAGAGGATGGAGTTGGTAGATTTAAAGGAGGCTAAGAAGTAATAGGGAAAATCCCAGAAAGAAGGAGACACAGAATGGGGTACTCCAAAATCTGCATAGAAACTGACCAAAACCTTGGATGACAACTGAACTGTCCGTGCATAAGAAAGACTGATGTTTCCCCAGGAAATAGCAACATCAAGCTATAAAAATTGAGCAATTTCAGCTCATACCTCCTACAGGAGAAACGGGGTTTGAAATTTGAGTCCCGTCCAGTCAATTATCTGTTCATACAAACATTTTCACTTTTTCAGCACTTTTCAGAGGAAAATAACAGAACCAGAGTTTCTACAACATGTCATCCATAACGTCAAGTACACATTTTGAAAAGTTACTAGACATGCAAAGAAACAGGAATATGTGACCCACAGTGAAGAGAAATGGACCCCAATATAATTCAGATGTTGGAAGCGGTAAACAAGGACTTTAAAGCAGGTATTATAAAAATATTTGAGGATTTAATGTAGAACTTGGTCAAAATGAATGAACAGGTAGGAATTCTCAGCAAAGAAATAGACACTATTAAAAAATGGACATTCTTTACTTTAAAAGTACTATATTTGAAATGAAAATGTTAGTGGATGGGCTTACAAATGGATTGCATACTATAGAAGAAAAGGTCAGTGAAATGAAAGATAGATCAACCTTAATCATCCTATGTGAAAAAGAGAGGAAATAAAAATCCATGTAAATTTAAACTGTAAACAGAAGCCACCTCAGCCACTCACATGTGGAATTTTCCACACTCTCTCATTGTGAGAGTCTCTCCAAGTTGGGGGCCTTCTGGAGGAGGGGGAAAGAGGGGGAAGCCAGAGGATGCAACACCCTTCGGTTAGACAAATAAGGCAGTGAGGCATGAACAGGCATAATAATAGTTAAAAACCCATTTTAAAGCCCATCTACTTTCAGGAAGTGTTTGAGATGGCTTATGCTTAAGATGGTGGGGTTACAATAAACAGAGAAACAACACAAGAATGAAAAAACAAAAGGGAACAGAAAGAGAAACATTTATTTAGTCACTCAGGTGTGTATTTTCGCGTGATCTTGGTCATCCCCCCCAATCCATGAGAACAAAGGTTTTACCTTTATTTTTATTTACATTTAGTGTAATTACTGATAAAGAAGGACTGACTTCTGTCATTTTGCTATTTGTTTTCTATATGCCTTGTAGCTTTTTACATTCCTTATTTCCTGCATTACTGTCTTCTGTGTTTAGTTGATTTTTCTTATAGTGAAATATTTAAATTCATTTCTCATTTCCTTTTGTGTACATTCTATAGCTGTTTTCTTTGTGGTTGTCATGGGGATTACATTTAACATCCGGAAGATATAACACTCAAATTAGAATTTATACCAGCTTAACTTCGATAACATAGAAGAACTGTTTCTTCACAGCTGTGTCCCCACTCCTTTTGGTTGTTGATGTGACAAAATCACATATGTATACATCATGTGCCCCAAAACATAAACTAATAATTCTTTTAAATGCATTAGTTTTTTAAATTATGTGGAAAACAAAATTTGGAGTTACAACCAAAGTTATAATGATACTAGCTTTTAGACTAGTAACTTTTTAAAAATGTATTAGTCTCTTAAATAATGTAGAAAACAAAAAGTGGAGTTACAAACTGTTGTTACAATACTAGTTTTAACAATTGCTCATGTGTTTATTTTTATTGAGATCTTTATTTCTCCATATGGCTTTGAGTTACTGTCTAATGTCCTTTCATTTCACCCTGCAAGACTCCCTTCTGGCCTCCAAAGTTTCTGATGAGAAATTTGCCCATAATCTTATTGAGGATCACTGTATATGATGAGTCACTTCTCTCTTGCTGATTTCAAGATTCTCTTTTTGTCTTTGTCTTCCAAAAGTTTGATTATAATGATATAATAAACTATAATATAAAGACCCTTGGTGTGGGTCTTTTTGAGTTCATCTTACTTAGAGTTCACTGAGCTTCTTGGATGTTTATAGTCATGTCTTTCATCAAACTTGGGAAGTTTTCAGACATTATTTCTTCAAATATTCTCTCTTTCCTCTTCTTCTGGGACTCCCTCAATGTGTATGTTGCTCATCTTGATGGTGTCCCATAGGTCTCTTAGGCTCTGTTCACTTTTCTTCAATCTTTTTCCTGTCTGTTCCTCAGACTTGATAGTTTCCATTATCCTATCTTCACATTCAGTGATTCTTTTATTTTTTTGTGTGTGAGGAAGATTAACCCTGAGCTAACATCCATTGCCAATCCTCTTCTTTTTTCTGAGGAAGATTGGCCCTGGGCTAACATCCCTGCCCATCTTCCTCTACTTTATATAGGACACTGCCACAGCATGGCTTGACAAGCGGTGCATTGCTCTGCGCCCAGGATCCGAAACTGTGAACCCCAGGCTGCTGAAGAGGTGCACTTAACCGCTATGCCACTGGGCCAGCCCCCACATTCAGTGATTCTTTCTTCTGCCTGCTGAAATCTGCCTTTGAATCCCTCTAGTGAATTTTTCATTTCAATTATTGTAATTTTCAGATCCAGAATTTCTTTTTTTTATTTTTTAGGTTTTCTCTGTCATTATTGATATTTCCATTATGTTCATACATCATTTTCCTGACTTTTTCCACATCTTTGTTTAGTTCTTTAAGCATCTTTGACAGTTATTTTAAAGTCTTTGTCTAGTATATCCGCCATCAGATCTATTTCAGGAACAGTTTCTGTTTATTTTTTTTTTTTCCTTTGAATGTGGCATAGTTTTCTGTTTCTTTGTATGTCTTGTGATTTTTTGTTGATAACTGGATGTTTGAATCTAATACTGTGATAACTCTGGAAATTAGATTATCTCTCTTCCCCAGGGTTAGCTGTTTTTTGTTGTTATTTTTGCTTTTTTGATTGTAGTAGCCTGTCTGTTTACTGAAGATAGCCTAAGGTGTGAACTTAAGGTCTTCTGAGGTCTTTTCTGAGCCTTTCGTTGGGCATGCATGGTCACTTACTAATTTTCCCTATATATGTAGCTGATTTTGAATCACCTAGTCTTTAATATCTAGTCACAAAGTGGGGAAAAGAGAAAAATAAAGGGAGAGAAAAAGGGCAACTGTCTTTTTAAATCCCAGGTAAGTCACTTCAACTGGAAGGGGAGCGGCTTGCAACAATGGAAGGAAGTGCCCAACAATGGCTCCCCGCCTTTTTGTCTGCACCTCTGTGATCAGATGCAATAATCAGCAATCAGAGCACAGATCCCTGATATTTGGAGGACAGGGTCCTTTTGCCAGTGCAATTATTGTCTAGGTGGGGAGACAGATTCCTGGTGCTTCCTACTCCACCATATTCCCAGCATCCTCTTCACTTGGGAAGCTTTTAAAAGTCCCAATGCCCATTCCATACCAATTGAATCAGAATCTCTGGGTTCAGAACCAGGCGTCAGTATTAGCTCTCCAGGTAATTCCAGGATGCAGCAAGTTTGAGAACCAGTGCTTTATGTGTCCTATGATTAAGAGACAGGCATAACTCCTATGGGCTACTTTGGTTTTTAGAGGCAGTGTCTCACACATGAGGGTATCCAGCTGCCTCCCATTTTCCTGATAAGTGTAAAAGCACTGAGTTTCCAGTGGGACCCTGGACAAGAGAAAGCTCTCCAGCTGTTCCAGGGTGCAGGCAAGTTGCTCTGCCACTGGACTCTGATGACCAATCATGTCTTACATAGTTCAAAGGGTCTGAAGTAGACTGGGATGGTGGATGAAGACTGCGGCTAGCCTTGATAGAAAACTGACAGCAGAAGTCCACTGAATTGCAGAGCAAGGAAGTGCCCCTCAAGCAGGTAACCATCATTTCCTCCTTTTAAAAAGGAGTTACTATAATTTTTTGCCCCTCTTCCTTCCTTTTTTTCACTACTGACTCTAGTGTGTTTGGGTGTGAGCTAAATTTACCATTTATTTCACAGGACTATTTCACAATAGTCCTTCTGACTATTCGGCAATTATACTACAGAAGCTCTGTAAGGAACCAAAGGAGAAGTAGTTATTGTCTGGAGATAGTAGACTCTGAGAAGCCTGGCCTCTGACATTCTGTGGATTCTTTGGTCTGCTATTAGGAGAGGGGGCTGTGCATTGTGTTTTTGGATCATGGTAGCAGGGACTATTTTAGATATGTGGAAAGAAATGATTGACAGCCAGACAGCTGTAGAATGTGGTAGACACTTTTAGCTCAAAACAATATGTCCTTCTCTGAGAACTGCCCCATGGTGTAATCCACCCTCCAGTAAACCTACCCCATGGCACTGCTGCTAGGAGCATGAGTGGATGCTGTGCCATTTGGGTTTTCTTTTCCAGGAATTTAGAGTTTTGAAGGAAGAAACCCTGAATCTGGAAATAGTTGGAGCTGGGTCATATTGGTGGACCTAGTCTAGGGGAAGTTCACAATGTTCAGCTGTTGAAGCCCTTGAACTTCCCCAGCTGTTGATCATGGCTTGGTTGTAGTGATGTTGTAGTGATGTGCTGATAAATTTTTATACAACTAACTCCTAAAAAGGAAAGATGAAAGGAAGGGAAAGGAAAAAGAGCCCTGATTTCTAATGTTTGCTGATTCCCATGGTGTAAATACTCCCACCATGGCTGACATCAAGTTATCAGAGTGAAGTCACTGAACAGGGAGTCAGGAAGTATTGCATATAACAGGCTCTCACAAGCAGGTATGAACCAGCTTCAGGACACCACTGTCTGGTTGTCAGCTCCCCCTTGTATTCAGTGGATCTCTCTAGTAGCCTCCTAATAATCTCCCTTTTGGGTTTAGACAGCTCAAGGGGGATGTCTGTCCCTTGCAACCAAAATATCTTTAATTAAAACACCTAGCTAGCATAACCACCTTTTATTCTGAAGAGTTACAGTCAATTCACTAAGTGTGTTCCAACTTTGGCTGATTTTTCACAGCCACATACTTTAAATATTTATAGCTATTTTCATTTATATGCAAAATTCATACATATTTCTACAAATGTGCAGTCATCACCAGGTCCAGAAAAGATTCTTTTTAATCATTGTAGTTACTTAGGATAAGTGTTATCTTTGGAAGTTCCTGCCCTCTAGTGACCACCATAGGGAACTACTTTTGTTTTAGCTGTGAATGTTATACGACTAAGAGGTGAATTGGAGGCTCTTGATCTCCATCAGGGATTATTCCCAGGGGATAGACAGTGGGTATTATGCATATTGGCTCCCCCACCTTTCTTTCTTAATGAAGTCCAAGAGAATTTTACACCAGGGTTTCTCAACCTCATCACTTGGCATTTTGAGGCAGATAATTCTTTGTTGTGGGGGTCGTCCTGTGCATTGTAGGATGTTTAGCAGCTTCCCTGGCCTCTACCCACTAGATGTGAGTAGCACTCCCTCCCCGAGTTGTGACAACCAACAACATCTTCAGACATTGCCAAACGTACCTGGGGTTGGGGCAGTGGGGGGGGGGGTGCAAAATCATCCTGGTTGAGAACCACTGCTCTACACTGATGAAGCCACTTTGTCCCATGCATCGCTGACCTTAAGCAGCACTGAAGCCGGTAGGTTATGGCACCAGGTTAGAGCCTGAAGCTCAGGCTGTGACTCCTGAGTTCCCATACCGTGCACTATGGGAGGAAGAGTTCCAGGTGCCGCATATTGAAGCATCTGCTTTGTGATAGGATGCAGAGTCCACAATCAAAATTGAAAATTTTTTCTAATTAAAAAAAGCACTTCTTATGAGGCATGATGAGAGTGGGTGTCATCCATCCATTCATTCATTCCTTCATCTAGTAGATATTCATTAAGCAGTGCCTCTGAGATAGGTGATGTAATAGGTGCTGGAGCTGATGCAAAAGCAGACTATGGTCCTGCTTTAAGGAACTAACAGTTCTAAAAGGGTTCAATGGGGATATTTGCAGTTATAAGAGAAAGCCCAATTCCAAATGGCTTAAACAATAAAGGGACTTTATTGTCTCACACATTTGAAAAGGCCACAGGCAGTACAGGCCTTTGGTAAGGCCAGTGTCTCAGGGTTGTCATCAAGGACTGGGTTTCCTTCAGTGTCCCTGCTCTTCCTGTCCTGTTGTCAGTTTCATCCTAAGGCTGACCTCCCTTGTGGTCTCCAGAGGTGTTAGCAGCTCCCAAGGTTACATGGTTCCTCATTTCCTGAGAGCACCTGAGATTCACCTTGATTGGACTAGTTTAGGTCATCTGCCCACCCCTGAATCACCATTGCCACCGAGGATGGAAAGTGCTGATTGGCTGAGCCTGGATCACTTGCTCCAACCGTGGCACCAGTTTCCATAGAAGTCACATGGACTCCATAAAGGAGACCAGGCATTGCTGGGAGAGGAGAAAGAGCCACAAATTCCAGGCGAACGTGGAGTCCTGACCCAGCCAAAGTGCTCACATGCTCTTTGCTGCTTTTCACATAGCCTCTGCCAGGTGAGTTCATGCAGTCCCATGGCCTCGGCACCATTCGTGTGGGTCTCTGTGAAAGTCTTATGGAAGTCCTCTGTGCTTTACATCTCCCGCTCCTCCTTCTGCAAGCTCATGCCATCTCCGCTCCTCACAGGGATTTCCTTCTCTTCTTTCAAAGCTCGGTTCAGACTCAGCCCCTCCGAGGCTATTTCTACCTCCTCAGACATCCTTCCCTCCTCCATGCTCCCTTAGCCCTGGAACTTCGCTGTATTGCTCAGGTCGTTCGTCTGCTTCTCCAGCTTGGCTCTATGATGAGTTTAGACCCACATTCTGCCTCTGAAGAGTTTTTGGTCTACTAAGTTCTCTCTCTTTAATGCCTAATAAAGGAATTGAGAGCTTTTAGGGGAGATTCCTTTGGTATCCTCAAATTTCAGAAACAAGATGGTTAAAGTCTGTGTGTGTGTGAGTGTACACATAGGAAAGAGAGTGACGGAAGCAGACTGTAGCTGTGGAAAGAGCAAAGGATTTAGAGTCAGACAGTCCTGGGTTTGAATCCTAACTCTGTACCTTATGGATCTGAGGCTTTGACCAGTGGCTTCCCCTTAACCCTGTTTTCTCTCCTTAAAAAGAATGCATTGTATGTTAAGCATTCATACTTTCTATGACATTTCACACTTGTATGCTCTCACTCCTGTGTTACTCACTCCCATAAGGTACATTTAATAAATAGTACCTTTAATATATGCTTGTAACTATAAGTATTGCCATGGCTATGGTACCCTCATTAGTAAATCACATGGTGACTTTGGGAGAGATTAAAGATGAGTCATTCCAAGGACCAGAGAAATCAGGCCCTTCTAGCCTTAAAGAAACTTCTCCCCTTCCAGCTGTATGTGACCCCTAGATTAGAGGTGGGGTGAAAGAAGGCGTGGCTGCCCCGTCCACCCATTGCCTCTGCCTGGTCATGCCCTCCAAGGCACTGCCTTGGCATAACAGCTCAGTATGTGCCCATAGGGCTTATATAAGCCCCACATGCACCATGTAAAGATAAGAATGATCACATCGTCTTTTATTTTTTTTACATGATCCATTATACGTAATTTAATTTGGAGTAGGTTAAGTGCATAGAAACTGGGAAATGATACAGGCCTGGGAACATATCTAGTTTTTTATGGCAAAAATGCGCCTTTATAAGATTCTTCTATACAGTTGCATCTTCCTTGATATGAAACATGGCCCTCTGTATGTCCATCAACACATTTATGCTGGTCAGCTTCTCTGGTTTGAGCTTCAGCTCAGCCACTTCCCAGCTGGGTGGCTTAACCTTTGTGAGCCTCACTTTGCTCATCTATAAAATGGGAATAATTCTCTACTTTGAGGGAATCATGCTCTGTTGTATATCCAGTGCACCTCACTACATCAGCCTGGTCACCTTTAATCTTTAATTTATTACAAATACACCTGCCCAGACTTGCTGGAAATCCAGCCTTTTCCCAGGGCTCCCTTGGCCAGATATAGTCACCAAAGGTCAGGACTAATAACCCCCAGATATGGCTGTGGCATTGTTTTCTCTTGTGCCCTGGTACCTCACCCTGGGCCTCTCCCCACTGGTTCTTCCTCTGGCACTTAATTACTTTCATGCATCACTTTGGAGAGCTCTGTGTAAGCCTTTGTTGTTTTAAAAGTTTGGGAATCTCAACCATGTTCTTTCTGTCTTTGAAATAGTGGACACGTTTTTAGAAGGACATGAGGACTTTTTGGAGTCTAAGAATTTAAGATTCTATAATTGACAGTTCTGAACATCTTCGGGAGAAAATGCACAATCCTTGACCAGACCAGAATATACTGATAAAATAATTTATTCAATTGTAAATCAGGAATTTGATTTTTTAAAAGGTTTAAGAATAACTATTAATGAGATTATGAGTTTGTCCATTTGGGATTTAATTTTAAATGAATTAAAAAAAAAATCAAGATTCCCCACAAAGCACCAGCCCTTTAATCTTTCAAGGTTGATCATTTCTTTGGTTCATTAACTCTCCCTACTCCAGAATGGATCCCAGAAAACTTGAGTTATGGAAAGCAACTTTTACAAAGTCCACTTCTTCAGGATTTTTGTTGGTTTGGATTTGTTTTGCTAGGTTGAGAGATTCTGGGGCAAGAACTGAAAAGTAGGAGGCACAGTGAAGCCATAGAGAAAATGTAGTTTTCATTTTATCAAAGAAGCCCATTGTGCTGAACATCAGGCCAGTGTAATGGCTCTTCAAATAACTCTCTTGAAAATGGAAACAAATGTTCTAAACTGGAACACAAACAAAATTTAATATACCTGCATATGTAAATATCGTTTCCTAACTTCCTTTACATTGAATTGCTTAACTTTAAATAACATGTAGGGTTTCATAGCTTCTCTTAGAGAAGGGAATTGAATGTTAAGCTGTTCAGTCATGAGGACTGGGTCTCTGATTGCCATCCCCTCTGCTTTTGATATAAAGTCAATTAACCATTTTATTAAATGCATCTGGTTGCTACACTTCAGTAGTGCAGATGGGGCAGAGGAAAACGAGAGGTCACTTGATGGGAGGGCTTTTCCTCCAGTCCACTCCATGATGTCAGCCCTCCAACTTAGGGCTGAGGGATCCTGAGGGTTAGAGCAGTTGGGGTCGGGACTTGCTGATGACTGTCATGAAGCCCAGGTCAGGGAAATGTCACTCCTTGCAAGCCTCTTCAGTGCACTGCAGGCCTTTGCCTTCTCTGATGCCGTCCACTTCCTCTGGCCAAGGATCTGAAGAAACAGGTTACAGAGTTTGGCAGACTGAATGTGACTTGGGCAAAACAAGAAGCATCATCCATTCATGTCCTCACTGCTCTGGTTGTGGTGGGGTCGAGGAGGCTGGAGACCACCTACACTGCCTCCCATTCAGCTCCTGGATCCATGCTGTATTTAAGCACCAACCCCACGCCCTGTGCCCGATTGCCCCACTGTGATCAGCCCCTCTCTTTCCACTCTTTATTTGATATTTCATGGCAAACTCACTTTGAGGCTTTGTTTTCACTTTACACTGAGCACCCACCGGCTCCTTCAGATTCCCGGTGACTCGAAACATACACCACCATGTATCCATTGGGAATCTCCACCAATCTTTCCCACAGAAACCAATCAACATCCTGATGAGAAAAGGACCTGGACTACAAATGGCCTGCAGCAGTGTGCTACTGAAACCATTCGAGGATTGCCAAGGTGGACTCTGTCCTCACTCAGAGTTCTGCTGCAAAGCAACTCTATGTTGTTTCAGACTCAGCAAAGACAGGAAGGTATTGAAATCAAGGGAACAACCCCCCACAAGTGTATCTTCTTGCCAAACACTGCCCTGGGCACCCTTTTCTCCAGTACATCATCTGGCACATGTAGAGTATTTCTGGCTTTTTCTTTGCCTGTGACAAACTCTTTTTGATTCAGCTGATAGTATTTCCCCCAAACCCAGAATAGATAAGAAATCACTGGGAGTTTACATCTGATCACCATAGGTTCATTCTTCCATATTATAAGCTCAAAGTTACAAGGAGGAATAGTACATACTTGCTGTGTTGGTTTTGTTAGTATTTTTTTTTAAGTTAATATTAAATGTTACTTTTCTGAGGAAGTAGCCAGAATGATACTCTCTCAAATTCAGACACCTACTGGCACGATTTAAAGTCAGACATTATTTCTAACCAAATTATACTCTTTTGTCTGCCAAGATATCTTGACAATTTTAATTTCTGAAGGCAGGCCTATATGATAATCCCAGCAATATTCTGGGGATAAGATTTTAGTGGGTTTGTTGAGAAGGAAATACTTGTTTAGGTGGCTTTCATCATGCCACTCAGCTTCTATGTCATTTCCCTTGTCCTGGAGGATTCCCTTAAAGCACTCCCGGGTGATGTTTAGGACCTGAATGGGTGTTCCTCCAAAAATGGCCGCGTGGTAATAAAAATCCCCCTGGCCGAACGGAATGTATGCTGCGGACTCCTTCCGCCTCTCGTAGGTAAACTCATCATGATCTGCCTTGTACCACCAGGCCTGTAGCTGAGCCACCGACTGGCCCAGTGTTTCCACCCCAAAGCTGTCTTGGAAGACCTGGTCCACGTCCATGCAGAAGAGGAAGTCAACTTCATGCTGGATGTGGGCCACAATGTGGTCCCCAATGGTCTTCATGCGCATCATGCTGATGTCCTGCCACCTCTTCTGAGACTTGATCTCAAACACTTTAAAGGAACGCAGGGGACCCAGCTCTATCAAGGGCATCCTGGAGACATCGTCCACCATGATGTAAAATATGACTTTGTGGCCAACCATGAAGTACCTATTAGCAGATGTTAAGAATTCCTCCAAGTAATGCTCAATGTATCTGAAACAAAGCAGAATGGGACAAATGTAACCTCTTGGATTTCTGTAGGAGACTACGCGCTATTCTAATCATCCTGCCTGCATTTTGCAGTTTAGCAGAGGAATTTTTCCCCTTCTCTGATGTATGTTTTCATGTGGAGGGACATCTGTTACTGTAACATTCCTGGCTGCTCTCCACCATTCAGTCACTCAACTTTGGGGATCTGGAGTGACTTATCTGAGTGCTGATTTAGAAGGACAACTGGGCATGCACAACCCTGCCCAATTCTCTCTCGCTCTTGGAAGCCAGCCAGTTGGAGAGAGTGTGTGTTCTCAACTGCTCTGGGCCTTGCAGTAGGCTTAGTGGTACAGGCCCTACTCCCATGTCCAGAGGCCTGCAGTTTCTAGTGCTGTAGGTGCCTGGGCACCTAAGTCTTTCTAATTCTGTGGTTCAATATTAGGAGGCCCAGGGCCTGCAGATATAAGCCACATTCTCCAATACCAGCTTTAAATGTAATGAAGGTGATATGTACTATCATTTGCCTTACTTAACCTTTTGTCTTATGTATCAGTTGGTTCAGACTTTGGGCAGGGAAAGGGGGGTGCTGTTTTTTTCCAGCTTTATTGAGTTATAATTGACATGTAACATTGTGTAATTTTAAGGATTTTCAAGTGTTGATTTGATACACTTATATATTACAAAATGATTACCACCATAGCATTAGCTAACACCTCCTTCACGTCACATAATTGCCATTTCATTTTTGTGATGAGAACATTTAAGATCTACTTTCTTAACAACTTTCAAGTATATAATACATTATTATTAACCATAATCACTATGCTGCATATTAGATACCCAGAACTTATTCATCTTGCAAGTGGAAGTTGGTACCCCTTGACCAGCATCAGGGGACACTAGTTCTTGAGTCTCTCTCAAAAACCCCAACCTATTCCCCAGTTGCTACTGCCCTATCAGATGCATGGGTGATGTGACCCTTGGGTCCTTTGTGGATGTATTAAGCCTAACCCTTGCCACTCTCTTATCCTTCCCTGGGACCCAGAGAATGGATTTTGGGACATGGATATCTTTGCATATTACATATTCACGCAGTGAAAATCTTCTGCTGGTTGCCCAAAACACCAATCCATTGTCCAGACACCACCATTATAAGATCCATCCAAATACCAGAGCAAACAACCTCTGATTTAACATTATTTTAACTATTTTTCCTTTTTTAAACATTAGATTTTATTTTTTAGAGCATTTTTAGGTTCACAGCAAAACTGAGCTGAAAACACAGAGTTCCCATATACTCCCTTGCTCCTTCCTCCCTCCCACAGCTTCCCCCACTATCAACACCCAGCACCAGGGTTGTACATGTGTTGTAATCGATGAACCTACATAGACACATCATTATCACCCCAAGTCCATAGTTTACATTAAGGTTCACTCTTGGTGTTGTATATTCTATGGGTTTGGACAAATGTATAGTGACATGTATCTATCATTATGTATGGTGTTATACAGAGTATTTTCACTGCCCTAAAAATCCTGTGTTCTACCTATTCATCCATTCTCCCACTCCTAACCCCTGGCAACTGTTGATCTTTTTATTGTCTCGATAGTTTTGCCTTTTCCAGAATGTCATATAGTTGGACTCATACAGTATGTAGCCTTTTCAGATTGATTTCTTTCACTTAGTAATATGCATTTATGGTTCATCCACATCTTTTCATGGCTTGATAGCTCATTTATTTTTAGCACTGATAATATTCCACTGTCTGGATGTACCACGGTTTATTTATCCATTCACCTACTGAAGGACATCTTGGTTGCCTCCAAGTTTTGAATTATGAATTTAATTATGAATCAAGCTGCTATAAACATTTGGGTGCAGGTTTTTGTGTGGACATCAGTTTTCAACTCCTTTGGGTAGATATCAAGGAATACAGTTACTGGATTGTATGGTAAGAGTATGTTTACTTTTGTAAGAATCTGCCAAACTGTCTTCCAAAGTGACTGTAGCATTTTGCATTCCCACTAGTAATGAAAGAGAGTTTCTGTTGCTCCACATTTTCGCCAGCATTTGGTGTTGTCAGTGTTTTGGATTTTGGCCATTCTAAGAGGTGTGTAGTGGTATTTTAGCTATTTATCTATTCATTCAAAAAACATCACGTGGCTGTCTTCTCTAACCTAAGCTACATGCTATCTTGTGAGCCACGGAGATCAGAGAGAAGAGGAAGTAGTAGTCAGATGGCTTAACACAACTCATACAAACCCCAGACTCGTGCTTGGGACTGTGGACTGAATTTAATTTGCTGATCACACTACTGGCCAATCACGATGTTTTGTGACTAATAATAACAGGCACTTCTTTTTGCTTTCTGGCTGCTGTTTGGATTCCCTTTCTTTACTACAAAAATAAACGTGCTTTTAATGTTTGCCTCTGGAAACCCAAGCATTTACAGTATCGATTCTGTAAATGGAGAGAATATATCTGAGCAATACAAAGAGGGACTTTGGCGTGGCTCTGTGGCTGGTGGCCAGGAAATTCCTGGGTACTCTGGAACTTTAAGAAAAATCTATCGTGCCCTGAAGCTTGGGAGACAATCCTGGGAGGAGGGAGGGAGCCCATGGGAGGTTTAACATTGTTTAGACATTAAAGTACTGCTGTTGGCTCCATGCATTGTTATTTGAAAACAGACCAAACATCACACCTCCTAAAAGTCCAAATCCACTCTTGTGAGGATTTACTGCTGCTGAGTACACAGTCTTCTCATGCCTCAGAGCTGAGAACACAGGGCTTTCACCAGGATGTGCGATTTACAGTTTCTGCCGAGCTGCAACTGGATGGTTGAAGCCATTGTGGAGCAGTAGGCAACATTCTGTTCTTTTTGGAAACACCAGGATCAAATCAATCTGCAACGTGGCTGGCTTGTACCCTCTCGTGCCAAAGGATTAGGTGAGCCGAGCATCAGCTCCTGACTCATAACAGTACAGTTTCTTCTAGTAAAAATGTCAAAAGTCCAGAGTGACCCTTCTCTATTAGAGATGCCATCTAGACCCCTGGGATCAGCACAGTCAGTGACATTAGGACCTGATTAGTACGGTGACAGCAATGGCTTCTGGTCTCTGGCTTGGAGAAGATCTAGGGAGAACGGCCAGATTTTCACAGAGCTCTCCTTTAGGCCCTACAGTGGGCGGAGCTCAAGCTCAGATCAACCTGGGCCTTCAACTCTCTTTGTACCAGTAAAGGGATCAACTCTCTATGTCACTTTCAGAAAAGGTACACATGGAAAGGCCCATGGGGGAGTGAGGGGTGGGGAATGGAAAAATTGAACTTCTGCTTTCATTTTGGAAAAAAAAATTAAAAATTCTCCAAAAGAGCAAAATGGTTCTATTTTGAAACTAATATTACAGCTACTAATTTCAAGTAAGAGTGATTGCAGTTTTGGGAGAAACATTCTAAACTAAGAACTGGAAGCCAAAACAGGGACCTATCCAACCTCTGGAAGAGGAGGTTCTGGCCAGCCAAATCTCCAAGGGCCAAATCCTCCAGGAGAAATAGGGTGGAAGGGCCTGAGGAACCCGTGGAAGAGTGGTCAGCCATGCTCCAATGTGGAAAACCACTGCACTTAGGTCACTCTGTGCGGAGAACTTGCTGTAAATCCTTCTGTCCTTGGGCCTGGGTCTTGAGAGCATAGGAGAAAGAACGATGCACATTTGTGCTGCCTAACAGCTGGCATTTTTGGAATTTCCAGAGAAAGGCATGGAGCTCAGGGAGGAGGAGGTGGTTGTGGCTGTGCTGTAGACTCTGGGCTCAGTGGGTGTAGCAGACATTTTTACCTGTAACATGGTACCCTCACTTTGAGGTGGGAAGGAGTCGACCCACCTACTGTTGTTTTGTTCTCAGCCTTTTGGGGTCTCAGCAGAAATGAGAGAGCATTATAACATTCTCCTATCTAATAATTCAGACAAGTCATGAACAGCCTCCTAAGCCCAGGGGGCCCCTCACAAACGTGACAGTGAAACAAGAAAATGTTGAGGACAGTTTTATCAGTGACACCTACCTTCCGGTAGCAAAAACTGTCAGACCAACGGTAATTTTCTGTTTGGCATAATAATTTTCTAAGATGGCTCTGTTGTAAGTGCCTTCCCACACGACCGGCGCCTTCCATTCGGTCACCGTCACAACCTCTGGGCGTTTCCTGGTGACAAAACGTGGAGCCCCGTGAGTTGGGACAGGTTTGCTGAGGTTGGGCAGTAAGTGTCTGTGGAACACCTGGGGTCAGCTATGATTTGTGGTGGCTGTCCTTGCATCCTGACTGTAGCTGAACCCCAAGCATCGACTGGGCGGTGTGACATTTGCAAGGGCAGCATCTTCTGGATGAGGGACAGGAGGCTGTGGCCCAGGTGCCTCTGAGGGCTGCCTTGGGGCCTTTATGGGGACCTTGCCTGTACATCTCATACTTCTGTCCGCTTTTCCTGCTTTTCCTGATCTCTTCTGCCTTACAAACCCCTTCCCCTATCTCCTCAGCCCCTTCCTAAGCTGCCAGTGGCATCTTTGGATGGTATTTATCCCGGTGGGTGCCATCTGAGCCTAAAAAGCCTAATCCTGGACACAGGGGGATGACAGAGTGACATTAGAACCGAAAGGGGAAAAGCTATTTCAATTTGTCTTTTGCCAGAAAGGGATGATGTCTGGGCAGGAACCTAGTTTTAGGCCAAAGGGGCTCCTGACTAAGGGGCTTCGGGTGTTACTGTTCATTTTACAAATAAGGAGACAGGGTCACTCAGAGAGGAAGGGACTTGACAGCGGCCCACCAAGGCCAAGGCTGGAACAGGGCTCAAACCCTCTTCTCAGACCTCCTGGCTTCTTTATTAGGAGCACAAAGCAGGGAGGGGGAGGCGTGTCCTCTGCACTCAGAGCACTTGAAAGGGACTTGGCAAAGCCAGCACAAACACAGGAAGCCACGTAAGAGCAACCATAAGCGACAAACTACACAGGGCAAACGCCAAAAGGAGGAGCAGCGGGGCCCAGCGAGAGGGTGGAGCTCGAGGCAGGAGCGGGTGGCGGAGACTCAGCTCTGACCCTCATTTGCTCAGGAAGTGGCAGCATTTCCTCTGCGGGAAGCAGCGACTGAAACACTGTCATTTAGATTTAAACCCCAGCACACAGGGGTCTGGCCCCTGCTAGGCGTTTGCTTGTCCTTCATCTACTGCAGGGAGAAGGCCAGTGACTGGGGCAAAGCCCTGGGTTTCCCCGTCGGGACCCTGCTGGCTGCCCACATGTGGCCCTGGTGAGGCTGTCCGGGAGATGTCAGCAAATAGAGTGGGATGGCGGGTTTTCAGAAAACTGCCCCTACCCAGCAGCAAAGCAGGGTTTTTCCACAGTGAGGCTGGGCAAGGCTGAGTCAACCCCCGCCTCACCTTGAGCCCTAGCCCCAGAGTGCAAAAGAGCCTCAGTGGACTTGCCCTCATGCCTCCTGTCCCTCTGTCAACAAGCTCTTCACTCCAATTCTGGAGCCGACTCAGCCCTCCCGCCCCAGTCCTGTGCCCAGTTTCCTGCCTGCTTCCTGCCCCACACAGCTGGACTCACCTCCAGAGATGGGGAAGGGGGACACACAGGCTGCTCTCCTGGCCCTCCCCATCTTGTCTGGAGTCTCAAACTGAGACTCAGCTCTGCCCTCACCCCATGGATGTGCCAGCTGCGCCGAGGACAGTGGCTCTTGGTTTCCTTCAATCACAAAAGAAGCTACTTTGGACTCTGCACCAACCTGTACGAGCCACTTTCACATACACGCTTTAATTTAGTCCTTGCAACAGCCCTGCCATGTATTATGTCCACTGTACAGGTAAGAAAACCAAGGCCCAGAAAGGCTTGTTAATTTGTCCAAGGCCACAGAGCTGGCCGATGACGATGGTAACTAAGCCACACTGAGCACTTCCTGTGGGACCAGGCACTGTGCTAAGGGTTTCACCCTTCAGAGATGTGGGCTATTTTGATTCCCATTTTATCAATGAGGAAACTGTAGCACAGAGAGGTTAAATAACTTGTCAGAGGTCACACAGCTAGTAAGGGGCAAAGCTGGGATTTGAACCCAGATAGCCTGACTCTGGAGTCCGTGCTCTGAGCTGCCATCCTTTATTGCTTCTTATATGGAAATTTACTTGCTGTGCTGATGAAGCTGGGATTAAAAACAAGGTTTGTCATTATTTCCACTCAACTTAGCTACTTCGGCATTTTTATCAGGGCAGAATGAGAAATGATGATCTTTTTTGTTTGTTTTTGGAAGCTTATGTGATGTGTTTGTTGCACACAAAACCCCCAGCTTTGTTGAATGACAGGACTTCAAACCAAAAAACCACACACACACACCGTGCTATTCTTCTATAACCATTTCTGAACTTGAACTCTCCCATGTATTGTCACGTTTTAGCCTGTCAAGGATCTCTTAGTAGTTCTGACCCAGCCCGCTAGCCCAGTCATGCAGCTGGGTCTAAGCTGGACATTTGGTAAGAAGGGAACAATATTTGAAAAAATAGGAAGAGAAAGAGGAGGAGGAAAGGAAGGGAGCAGGTATACTTATCAATACTTACAGTGCACAGGGCTAAGTACTTGACTTTCATCCTCTCATTTAATCCTCACAACCACCTTATAAAGTGGGTGCTATCATCACCCCCATTTTACACATGAAGAAAGTGGGGGTAGAGGGAAGGAAAAGGGAACTGCGTCTTTAGCCATTTAATTGATAGGAAGGGCCAGACCAGGGCACTCAATCCCTCGATGCACATTTGCTAAGTCCCTGCTCCCTGCCAGGTCCAGTGCTGAGCACGGAGATCGGAGAAATGAGACCCCGTCCTACCCTGGAGAATCCCACAGTCCCGACAGGTGATCAGCCTGCTACACACTCCTCAACTGCATGACCACTCAGTCCACATCTTCTAGAAAGTCTGAGTCAGAAAACCAGTGTCCAGTTTGGTTACTTGGCTGGGAAGATTCCTTCAAGCAAGGAAAAAAAAATAGCAATATCAAAAATTAATATTTAATTAAAAATTAAAGTGTTCTATTTCCCAGCTGTTAATTATTAAATTCCACTGGCAATTCCAACATGTCAGGGACCCTAAGAAGCCAGGCGACAGTCTGAAAAAGTCAGGCTGTGGGGAGGAGGGGAAAGGGGTGGGAGGATGAGATGGAGACCTGCTTCCTGAATGAACCTCGCTCAAAACCCACAAACAAAGTGACAGAAAGCAGGCTGCACATGTGTGAGAGCTAGCATTGCCAGTGTCAACTGCCAGAGATGTCCAAGGTCACCAAGATGGGGCTCTGAAAGGAGGAAAAAGTGCCAGGAAAGACTTGGAGCTGCCCAAATGCCTTCCTTCCAAGCAAGACACCCACTGTGTTACGGTGGCTTAAGGGGCTCCACCAGCAGAGGCCAAAGGCTTCCCGCAGAATAAAAGGGCCTTCAGAACCAAAACACACACCTACCTAAGTGATGGGTAGCTTTTTAATTTTATGTACTTATTTATGGGTACATCATGGTCCCCAAGGTTTGAGTAGAGGAAGTGTTAAAAGTCTATGAATCATGCAGCAGGTCAAAAAAGATGTGGAATGCATATAATGTGTTATTTACTGAACTCCTTTGAAGAAGCAGCACGCGAGACAGTGATCCAGCAAAGAACTGATGACGACATGAACAAGACTGGTGGCTGTGGAATGGAGAGAAGGAGATGATGTGGGAAGAATTTTGAAGGACGAATTAATGAATTAGACTGTGGGGTGGATGGAGGAAAAGGATGAATCGGAGAGCTCTCCTAGACTCTGGCTTGAGATGGGAAATGAGAAGAACAAGGATGGGGTGGAATCGAGAAATCCATTTGGGTCATGTGAGACATGCAGAGATGTCAAGCAGGTAGTTGGACATAAGTCAGGGCTCAGAGGAAACCTTTGGGCTAAAGATACAAATGTGGGAGTCATTCTCACGCGCTTGGTATCTAATACGATGGAAATGGATGAGGGCACATTGGTAGATGGTGTGTAGAGAAAAGAGATGGGAATACTGGACTTAACCTCCACAAACTCTAATATTTGATAGCTGAGAAGGGGGGCAGAGGCCCCTATCAAGGAGAATGAGAAGGGAGAATGGAAAAGGAGAAGGAAAATTAAGAGGATATGGTGTCATAGAAGCTAAGAGATCTTGACATGGAAATGTGTACAAAATATACTGTAATATGTTTTAGGTAGTTTATAGGAAAGGATATATTTATATAAATATATTTATTTTTTCATTCAATCATTTAACTAATCATTGATTTACGCAGGAAATGGACTTTGGTGCCCTGAGAACCTTGAGATTTGGTGCCGCTGCAAACCAATATTTTTTAAATATCTGCTGGCCATTCGTTTAGAGGTAAAGCTGAGCCATGCGTGGGGGAGAGTGGAGAAAGTGAAAGCTGGTGGCTGCGATCTTTCTGTCTTCTCTGTGTCCAGTAATTCAGTCCTGGCCCCACCTCCCAAGTCCCTCTCAGCAAAGCACAAGTGCCGCAGCAAAAGTGGGCCACCCTCCTTAGAAGGGAGCTTGGTGACCGTCTCTGGCTCATCCAGCCCACCCCTTGGGGATCTCCCCCCGCAACATACACATCTAAGGGGTTTATCAAAGCTACAATCTTTCATATTCTTACATTTCCAGTAACAGTTTAGCATCTTATAGATGGCTGCCGTGTTGTCCAGCTCATCAAATGACACATGAGGATAATGTGTCCAAAATGCCCATCCTTCCACGCTGGTGTGGATCCCCTATCCCAAAACAATAAGAGAAGTTGCCAGAACATATTCAGTCTTTCCAGAGCCCAAGATCCCTCACAGTGGAATAGATGCTACTCACTCCCGATCCTCCTCCTACCTCTGCAGCTGTTCCTCCTCCTTTCCACACTTCACTTCCTCCACCAGCCCTTTAAATGCTGATACCAGAGAGGATTTGGTTGTACTCCTCTGCCTGGGTGGCCTCATGCAGGCTTATAGATCCCACTGCCACCTGTACCCTGATGGCTCCTCATCCTACATCTCTACCACAAATCTGCTGAGCTCACAGGCACTGCCATAGACAAACTGTCTGTGTCCTCCCCAACTTCATATGTTGAAACCTAATCCCCAGTGTGATGGTATTTGGAGGTGGGGCCTTTGGGAGGTGATTAGGTCATGAGGGTAGAGCCCTCATGAATGGGATTAGTGCCCTTATGAAAGAGACCCCAGAGAGCTCCCTTGCCCCTTTTGCCATGTGAGGCCACAGTGAGAAGATGGCTGTCTATGAACCAGGAAGTGTGTTCTCACTGACATCAAATCTGCTGGTGCCTTGATCTTGGACTTCCCAGCCTCCAGAACTGTAAGAAGTAAGTTTCAGTTGTTTATAAGACACCCAGTCTATGGTATCTTGTTATAGCAGCCTGAACGGACTAAGACAGGTACCCTGTGACTCTCCATCCAGATGCCCCACAAGTACTTGAATCCACATACATCCCTAATTGAGCTCATCACCTCCTCCCACTCCCAGATCTGCATCCCCTCCTCCAGTCCCTTTCCTGGTCAATGGCACCAACATCCACCAATCGCTCAGGCCTCACGGTCATCCTGGACAGCTCCCACCTCCTTATTTCTCAAACCACATCCTTCTCAGTCAGGTGGATCACACCTCCTTACCAATCTTGGCAAATACTAGTTTCACATCTCGAGCCCCTAGAAGACTGTGAACTTCTTGAATATAACCATGTTGATCGACTTCTCTTGTCTCCCATGCCTAACACAATGGCTAGTACAGAATTTTTAACCATGATTCACAGTGAGAAATACATTTTATGTCCCACCAAACACATGCACAGACATATATACACAGAAACCAAAATTCCTCAAGTGCAGCATTGGTGGTATGGTAATGAGCACAGCTGCCTTCCAAAATTCCACTAAACAATATTTATCTTTACCTCATGGGATGCCCTCTGATTTTCTATTTGATTTCAATTTTTTTAAAAAGCTGGTTTTGACCCATTAAGCTAGTTTCTAAACATATTAATGGATAGTGACCGGTAGTTTGAAAAACACCAGCTAGCATATCATAGGCATTTGATAGACATTTGTCGGATGCTTGCTTAATGAATGCATGCATGGCCCAATGAGATATTTTATCATCACTGCCATTTTACAGATGAGTTACCTGAATCTCAGAGAGAATTTTCTTGCTTTGACTTTAAACTCTGCAGCTTTCCACAACACTAGATGGCCTGTAAGACCCCATCCAGCCCTAGCATTTTGTGATTCATCTGCTACCATTGGTCAATTACTGTCAGAATTACTGTGTTATTGCTCAAGCATTTGAGTCAAAACATCCAGACTCCCCGTTTCTCATCTAATCTGTTGTTAAAGGTCTAATAGATGCTAAGACTCTTTCTCCCCAATCTGGAATGTTCTCAATGGTGCTGTTGCCTACACCGCCCCACCACCTCCTGCTGAACTGTGATTTACTGCACAGAGGGCAACGCTTCTTTTCTTACTGTGGATTAAACCAGTCGGAGAGCTGAAGCTCTTCTTCGTTGTTCTCCTTTTCTTTGTCTATGTCTTCTTCTTCTTGGTAATTGTGGATCCTACATACAAAGGGAAAGCAAGCTGAGTAAGGCAGGGAGGGCGATCAATGGTGTCGGGACAGTCGGTGAATATCTCGTGAAAACGCGTTCTGAGGTGGAGAACACGTGCGCCAAGTGAATGTCTGGAGAAAGGTTCTGATCCTAAATGTTTCCTCATAAAGACATTGATGAAAAGGTGCAGTACTCACTTCCTTATTATCCTTCTAAATCAGTATGGTTAGCAATTTAATGATCCAGCATCCCTCAGGTTATTTCAGGGGGCAGGGGGAACTTGATAAAAGAGTCCTCACAAGAACATTTTAGCTTAAGATAGTCTTCCCTGCAATCTAACCTTCAGCCCAAGCCTCACTCATCCCCAAGCTAAAAGGAAAAAACAAAAACAACAAAAAAACAAACTTAATGTCCTAGTCCCAACCACAAAACAGAGTCCCTGTATGATTTCAATAAGCAAGAAAGACGGGTGTCTGAGAAGGTCATGACTGATACAGTCTTATTTGGACTCTCTATAAGCGTTGGGTGGACAAACATAGATCGTCGTCCCACCGCCTTACCCATTGTTAAACCAGCTCGAAAACCACCAGCCCTTCTGAGTGCTGCTGCCACCAACTTCTGGGCTTCTAAAGAGTGAAAAAGATGACAAGTATTTTTAGAAAATGAGGCAGTCCCAAACTGGGGGGTTTCCAACCTCTTTTTATGACAGAAAGTAACTTAAAAAAATTTTATTTTAAAACCACCAGTTCATAAAACAGAAGTGAAGCTGCTGTAGCTGAATGACAGAAGATGGACCTGACACTACCTGGACCTCCCCTCCCTTGGGCAGCCCCCAGAACTCAGCTCATCATCCAAGGAGCCCTGGCAGAGAGACAAGGAGAGAGAGAGAATGACAAGTTGGAGGCATTGATACATAAACTGGAGACCTGGGCTGCCACTTACTAGTCGTGTGACTGTGATAGGACATTTGCCTCTCTGACTCTCGATTTTCTTCTCCAAAAAGTGAGAAAATAATAATAATATAATAATAAACCTACCATGAAGGTAGACTAAATGAATTAGGATACATTAAAGAGCTTTATATGTTGAAAATTACAGTAACGAGTTGTAATCTTAATTTAAAAAAAAAAAAAGCCAGTGCACATTTCCAAGAATGATCTCTTTTGCTAAACTCGGAGAACTCAGGGTGCTACAAAGGTCAGCAGTGACAGCCTCCGGGAATCTGAAGGTCTCTGAACCAGCAACTCAAGAAACTGTAATGAGAAGCCACGTTCCCACCCACATGCGGAAGTTTCCACACTCTCTCATTGTGAGAATCTCTCCAGGGTCAAGATGGGGGCCTTCTGGAGGAGAGAAAAGAGGAGAAAGCAGGAGAGGCAACGCCCTTCGGTTAGACAAATAAGGTGATGATGCATGAACAGAAGTAATAGTATTAAGAAACCTGTTTTAAAGCCCATCTACTTTTAGGAAGATGGATGGTTTACTATTAAGGTGTCGTTTGAATAAACAGGGAAACAATATATGAATAAACAAAAGTGAACAGAAAGAGGGGCCGACCAGTGGCGTAGTGGTTAAGAGCGTGTGCTCCGCTGCGGTGGCCCGGGGTTCGCAGGTTTGGATCCAGGGCGCGCACCGATGCACCGCTTGTCAGGCCATGCTGTGGCGGCGTCCCATGTAAAGAGGAGGAAGATGGGCATGGATATTAGCCCAGGGTTAGTCTTCCTCAGCAAAAAGAGGAGGATTGGCAGATGTTAGCTCAGGGCCAAGCTTCCTCACAAAAAAAAGGGTGGGGGGTACAGAAAGAGAAATATTTATTCCCTCGGGTAAGTATTTTCATATGACCTCCTTCATGGCAGCCACTCATGAGAATAAAGCTTTTACCATTATTTTCATTTATAGCTGAGATCTTGGCTGGGTGGGTTTGGACAAATTGCCAAGATCCCATGGCATTTTGTCAGCATAAAAGCCTGGATTTAACACCAGCGGGTAAATAATATCAGAAATGAAGGCTGAGGAAAGTACAAGCAGTTAAGCACAACACTTTGCTCTGAGCTTCCTGGAAACCAAGCCAAAGATAAAAAAGGAAGGCTTACATAGTTCTCACTGCCTTTAATAATAATAATAATAATAATAATAATAATAATAATAATAATACACACACTAGTTCATCAGGAGACCCAAACTTTTTTCCTGAGCCTTTGTCTCAAAAAAATTTCTTGCAAGGGTCTTTATACAACATATACTGGGCAGCATAAGGGACAATATCTACCCTCATTCTTTTTATCAGGAAGGCAGGAATGTTCTCCAAATGACACCACTTAAAGAGACCCTTGATGAGATGCAAGGGCAAAACACAAGTGGTGGTTCTATAAAGACAGGTCTAGGGAACCAGGGGAATGCAGTCCAGATCTCTGGGAACCCACCCTCCCCTCCACCTTTGACCAGAGCTCCATCACCAGCTGTTGTGTCAAGAATGGACTGTAGTGGGGGGCAAGAGTGAATGTGGGACCATCCCATAGATATCTAGAATTCAAAGCACTTACTTTGAGTGATATATCCACAAGAAAGAGCCTTCTGGGCTAAAAGGAAACAAGAAATAAAAATGTATCATGTTACTTTTAATTCTGAGAAAAGCTATTTGCAACCACTATCATTGAAGCCCTGAGCTGAGTTGAGAGCCTGGGTTTTAGCTAAGTTTCCACCTTCCTTTGATATCAAGAGACTGGGAATTTCCACTTGCCTTCACTTCAGGATTACCCAGAACAAGGGGTGGGAAGGAGGTCTTTGAGACTCTCAACTCTCAGATAAAAAAAAACATGACAGCCCTCCATTGTCCGGGGTGACTTCAATGAGGGAGAGAGGCTCCAGAGATGGCTCACCTACTCAGGAACACCATGGCCCAGCCATCCCTCAGGCTTTATCTTCCCCCAGAAAACAAAACAGCGACTGCAGAGTCTAATGCCACGTCCAGCTCAGAGCCTTCTACAGAGCAGTCTCAAAAGGCATTTCTTGAGCTAAGAAAGGCAGTGAGACCATCTTAAGGCACCTACGGGACTGGGCCAATGAATGTATGACCCCTCTAGTGGACCATCTCCATTCATTCAACAAAGACTTGCTGAGCATGATATGTCAAGTGCTCGGGATCCAGTGTTGGCTAAGACAGACATAGTCTGTATTGTAACCACGGGCCCTCTAGGACCATTTCAACTGACCCCATCTTATCAACAGAGTAGTTAAGAGTAGTTTTTCAGGAACTGAGACCCCCTGTCCAGTTTAGGCCAGTTGAGACCACCAGCCCATCAACTGGGCCTGTGCAAATGCCCAATAAGTGACACTTTTGATGTCAAAGGGCTGAAAACTCCACCCTTAGATCATGCTAGCACCACCATTTTCTAAACGTGTGTCCTATGAAGAGCCATGAAGCTTGACCATGCTTGTGCAGATCATCAATTACCTCACTTCTCCTTACCTCCAATCATCTATCACCACATTTCAGACTGCCCTTCCCTTCATCCCATAAATTTTGCCGCAAGCCCTGGATCAGGCAGACAGATCTGAGAGCTGATGCTTCCTGCCTCCTTGCAGATCGATCTAGCAATAAAGCTGATTTCTTTTCCCAAAAGCTGATGCCATAATAATTGGGGTTTTTTAATGCACATCGGGTAGGAGAATCCCATTTTTGTGCAGTGACACTGTGTGTGCTTGTGGCACAGACAATTTAGTAGAGAAGGCAGACCCTATTCAGAAAATCACACAGATACAGGACTTCAAACTCCATGATGGGCTACAAAAAAAAAAAATCGTAACTATGAGCACTTAACAGGAAGACCTGGAAATCTTCCCAGAGGAGGTGATAATGTTTTAGCTGAGTTCTGAAGGGTAAATAGGAGTTCAGGTGAAGAAGAAGGAGGAAAAATTTACCAGATAGAGTGGAAAAATATGCAAAGGCCCTGAGGAAGGAAGGAGGCATTTAAATAGGCAAGGAAATAAAAGAGAAGTAGCCAGAGCCCAGATCTTGCTGGGACCTACTGGGGATTTTGCCTTTGAAGTGTTTTAAGCAAGGGAGAGACAGGGTCTTATTTGCATCTGAAAATGGTCACTGGACAACAGATGGTAGAGATTGTAAGCGTAAATGTGGGTGACCATTTAGGAGGTGATGGCAGTGGTCCAGGCACAGATCCAAGCAGCTGTGGAGATGGAGGGAGAGAAATGCCCTGACTTGAGAGACATTTTGGGGGTACAGTGACAGGATTTGTCATAGTGGATTACTCCATTCTCTGTGCAGGGAAGCTGTGCCCGAATGCTAAGCCTTACGTGCTCACTTCTCCACCCTGTGAATAAAAGAGATGTAGCCTGGAAAAAAGAGTTCTGGAGTTGGGCTAAGGCACTTGCCCTGGCTCAGCCCCTGCTTGGCCCCAGCTCTCTCATCTCTGAAAAAAATAAATGACTAATAGTTGCTTCAGACTCTGGCCAAGGCTCCTTAACCTCTTATCCCTCCTCCTGCCTCCTCCTGCTGCTGGGAGTCCACATCTCATTGGAGGAATAAAATGTAAGCCCTCTCACCGCCTATGGTTTCCCTTTGGAGCTCAGTACACATGGACCAAGCTCTGAAGTTCCTTGTTTCTATATCGATTCTGACAATATTCATAATAGCTAATACTTGGCCAGGCGCTGTTCTAAGCAATGTACATATATCAGCTCATTGAATCCTCACAACAATCAATGAAGTAGGTTCTATTCTTCCTCATCCTACAGAGGCTCAGACGCATTAGGTGATTTGGCCAAGGTCACACTGCTAAGTGAGGAGCAGAACCAGTATTTGAACCTGAGGAATCTGACTCCAGATCCTACAAGTAGGGGAAGGGAGAGGGGAAAGAGGGGGAGAACCCACATGAATCCAGCACTCAGACACCCCCCTGGAACTCAGGGCATCAATTTGTAGGTTCAGACTCACCACCTTGTCACATCTCTTTAATAATCCCTCCTTCTTCCCCTCCTCACCCTCCTCTCCCAGAATCCTTCAGCATCTCAGCGGTCACAGAAATATCCACTCTGCAGTGTACAGCATTTAACATGTATTCATCCTTCAAAGCACAGCTCAAATGTCACCTCTGCTGTGCCTTGCTTGATCCAATCCTAGCCCATTGCCTGGCAGATAGTAGGTGCTCAACAAATATTTATAAATGAATGCAAAAAATAGATCCCCTCTAAGCCAAACATGAGTTTTACCTCCTGGAACTCTCACAGTTCCTTTTCTCTACCCCTGATATCCTTCCTCTACTTCGTATCATTGATTATTTACACACATGTCTTCTTGCTCCATCTAGATCACAACCCCTTAAGGGGAGGAGTTCTACTTGGCTCACGTTGTATCCCTCACAGCACTCGGCATAGACAAGTAGCTCGAGGAGTCCTGAACTATGGATCAGAAGTTCTGCGTTCTAGTTAGCACGTGGACATTAATTCATGGTTAAGTCAGTTCACCTATTTAGTCTTCACTTTGTCACTTGAAAAATGGGAATCCCTCTACTAAAGGAAAGGGTGTGCAGTGGGTAAGTAAATAGGCTGCACTCAGACACCCTGGACCAAAATCCTGAAAATGTGACCTTGAACATTAACATTGACATTGTGGAGACTCAGTGTTTCTCATCTAGAAACTTAGACTAATATTTATATTGCAGGGCAGTCAGAAGAGCTCGAGGGAATGTGTAGTGCAGTTCCTGGCACATGCCAACACTCAATATCTAGTAGCCGCTATCCTCGTAATCACTATCACCTTCTTTATTATTTTATTATGACTTTTAAAGTTTCCTCCAGCTCTAAAATTCTGAGATCTTTTTTTAATCTAGCCTCAAATCAAACAGTGTCCTGGATGACATTCTTTCAGGATGCTCTACTGACAACAGTTCTATGTACTAATCGGTTGATGTGTTTGATTGGGTTATTTTGAAATCCTTACTAGCTCAATGCTGCCCACCTGTCTAATGTCAGTGCCCTCAGTTCACCGCAAACCATCACATGGCCAATTCACAAGGTGGCAAAGGATCTGCTGCCTTTTAAGCCTCTTGCAGACGTTAAGTAGATTCCTCATATTGCAGAATGATGTGGTCACAGTCTTGAGTGCCAGACGACGGCCCTGAAGAGCATCCAGAACCTGCTCTGGCTACTGTGCAGAGACAGTGTGCCCAGCACTGCAAAATAACCCTCGTTATGGGAGGTCAGTGCCAAAATGCACATTTGGGCCTTTGGCTCCCAAATTTTAATTTTGTGACCGCCCGGAATATGGAAGTACAACTCTGGCTGAGATTCAAAACACCGAGGTTATGCAATCGAGCCTTCAGAGCTTGAAGGTCATCCACACGAGCATTTCAACTCAGGGCAGGAAACCCAAAGGACGTTTGTCCTTCTCTTGGATTCTTCCAACTGCTAGAGCTCTTCCTTCTATTTGTCAAGATCCGCAGTCCTGTTTGGTCCCCTGGGGCAGAGGATGAGATGATGATGGCAGCTAGCGTGTACTGAATGCTTATTGAGTTCCAGGCTTTGCCCTAAATGCTTCATACACCATAACTTATTTAATACACCCAACAACCCTAGGAAGCAGGTACTATTATTATTCCCATTTTTAAAGGTAGGGAAACTGAGGAACAGAGTGGTTGAGTAACTTGCCCAAGGTCACAGAGGAGGTAAGTGGTAGTATAGGACCAGCCCCAGACAGCCTAGCTCTAGACTCCAGCAAGGGTATTTCCTCAGCCATCAAGTACCAAAGGGAGCCCCAGGGTCCTTGCACGTAACTCTGAGTCATCTTTCCTTTGGACTAAATACCCTCAGTTTCCTGAATTTGAAAGACCTGGTTTCTAGACCCCTTTAACTTGGCCGCACTCTAGCTGGCCAAGTTTTCTTAAAATGAGTTGTTCAGAATGAAACAGAGTAACACTCCAGAAGTGTTTAGATCTATGCAGCACCCCAGGTAATAAAAGCTCCCGTATTCTGGAGAGTCCTCCTTCTATTGATGGACCTAAAGGTACAGTTCCTTTTTTAGTAGCCAAGATGGTCCTGCTGGCTCATCAAACCTTAGAATTTAAAAATTGAAAGAGATATTGACATGTTAAACCAGGCCATCATCTTGAACTTGGGGGCTACTTAAACACTTCACCATGAAAATATTAATGGTGCTGTAGGGGAGCAGAATTTGCCACCCCAAAAGGCGTCTCTTTGGCTTGAGGATTATTTGAGGCTGATTATTTTTAAGAACAAAAGGCTCAGGAAGAAACTTTGATCTTCCCCTTATCTGCCTAGAAGAATTTAAGAGGGAAGGCCTATTCCAGGAAGGAGCTATCACCATAGACAACCTATAATATGATGTGAACTAGATATGGTAGACAGGGAGGAACCTAGCAAGGCCATTTGATTGACGTCCTCTCTGTGTCCCTCTGTCCCTAGATAGCCCAACAAACATTTGTTTACCAAGTATTAATTCTTTACAAATTCCTGTAAATTGCCTCCTTTCCCTTTGAAGGCCCAGATCCCTGCCCCTTCTCCTTAGTCCAGAATGACACGTATATCTCCTTTTGCCTGTCTTCGGAACTTTTCGTGCTTATGTGAATTCTCCATGTGCACCTATTGAACTTTGATTTTCTGCTGTTAACCTGCCTCACATCATTTTAATTATTCGAGCAGCCATGAGAACCGTGAGGGGGAAGGGGGGCATTTTCCCCTCCCCCACAGTGCTGAGATGGCTCTCCCTGCCCAGAGTCATACAGTGGACTTTTTGAATGAAAGGCTGAGCCGTACCAGCACCTCTTAAGTCAAAGGCGTCATGCACTTTTTGTAGCTGCTTGCAAAGATTTCTTCCTGTCAGAAGCCTCTCCAACTGCAATCCCTGAGGCATTGTAGTTTCCAAAAACACAGAAGCAGCTCTTACATTTGGGGTGAATCCATGGATGAATCTGAAAACTCAGAAATGTTTAATTCATTCTGCTTTCCAGAGTTAAACAAAACAAAACGAAACAAAACACCCCAAAGTTTTAGCCAGGCACAAATGAATCACCAACGACTCAGTGTATTTTGCAGCAAAAATCAACAACTTGAGTTGCTCCTTGAAACTCTGCAAATATCTTAGGATTGCAAAAATCAGGTTGGATTTCTCAGGGTACTCCTATCTGAAATTTCTTAAGGTAATTTCTGTATGGTCGTATAAATAATTTAAAATTACGTTTTGGACTTAATACGATCTTACTGTTTCTGGACCTAGCCTACCCAGAACTGCAAAGGTATAAAAATTAAGACATTAGGAACATGGCAGGAAGGAAGATAATTAATTAGCCAGGAGGTACTTGGAGATCTAATAATTTTAAAGACAGTTCAGGGCTCAGGGATACAGGAAGGGTGGAATCTCTCTTCTTTATGGTTCCAGCTAATCCTAATTTTAATTCAACCTGGTGACTTGGTTAATACCAGGAGATTAGAGTCAAAGCCATACTTTCATCAACGTCATTTCATCATGTTTCATAATTACCTGTGGATATATTCCCAAAACACAACAATTACAGTTGAGGCAACCAGCATTGACAGAATCACTTTTCCTTTGACACTCATTATTTTCACCTGGGAAAAAAGAAGAGGGGAAAAATAGATTAAATAAATCCAGAGCAAGATAATGGTTTTTAAGAAATGCTTCTACCCATATCTTCTCTAAAAGGATCCATTTTATATGAATATTTAACTAGAGCTACTGAGTGTCTTCTACTTTAAATTGCATAGGTCTGCAATGGCAAATTAGGCTAATTCAACGTGTAGATAGGGTGGCTTGTGTTGACAAGGATGTTAAGGCCACTTTGGGGCTCAGATGGAAAGTATCCTGACTAATCATGAGGGCCACCATGGATGTGGGAGCGGGAGGGAATAACTGTAAATGGTTCCCATGGACTCCAGCTGCCTCTGACTCATATCGCCCCACCTGTCGGCATACGACGGAGGGGAAGCATCCATTCCCTAGCTCTGCAGACCTTGATATACTGACTACATGCCCCATGTTCAGAGGGGAAAACGACCCTGGTCCTTTACAATCTAGGCTTACCCACTTCCCAGCCCCATCCAGCTTTTCCCCACCACACCCACAAGCAAGCATACAATTGGCACAGAGTAGGTATATGAATATTTCTTGATTGCTGCATGAAATTGTGGTTGAAGGCAGAGGGATGCTGGGTGGAGAATAACAGGTTGGGAAGTACTTTAATTCAGGTGGCCGGGGAAGGCCTTTCTGGGGAGGTGACTTTAAAGCTTTCCTAGGGATGAAGACAGGATGGAAAAGGATGAAAAGCACCGTGAGAAGGGACGAGAATATTTGGGAACAGCACTGTTACAGGCTGACAGGAGAGAAAGCTTCTTATGTTTGAAAAAAAAAAAAAAGCAAAAAACCTGAACAAGAAAATAATACTGCAGTTCTCTCACCTCAGAGTGGCTGGAACAAGGGAGCGGTGGTGGTCGGCAGTCAGAGGGTGGACAGGGGCAGACAGGGTCTGGAAACGCGTGGGAAGAGGGGTGGGGAGCCACAAAAGCATCTGAAGCTGGAGAATCACCTGATCTAGCTTCATTCAGAGAGCCCTGCCTGGGTGCTAGGGTGTTGAGAAGGAACAAGGGCAGACGTGGGACAGGAGGTGGCAGACTATTCTAATGGCCAAAAAGAGGGGATGGCCTGTGCTAAAAAGGTGGCTTAATTCAAATTATGCTTTGGAGAGAGGATTTGGCTGGTAATTTAGACATCAGGAATGAGGGAGAGGAAGAAGCAAGGTTTCTGCTTGAGCAGGTAGGCTGTAGCATTTCCTCAGATGGGCTGGAGGAGGAGCAGGTTTGGGGCATAAGAATCATGAATTCCCTTTGGGACATGTTAATCTCAAGCAGCGTGTGAACCCCTAAATTGAGAAGATCAGTAGGCAAGTGGACATTCAAGTCTGAAGTTCATTGGAGGGATGTGGGCGGGACATGCAATTGGAGGTATTGTCCATGGACCATGGACGGTATTTAACTTGAAAGGAATGAGTTCTATTGCTTAGGGAAAGAATGCAGAGAGAGAAAAGGAAGGAAGAGGGCCCTGGGCTGAAGCCGACATGCAGAGATAGGATAGAGGAGGAGATGAGAAGGAGAGGCCCAGGAGGTGAGAGGAAAACCAAGAACATGGACGCCTGGAAGCCACAAGGAGAGAGTGGCCAGCTGTGCCATTCATTAAGTGTCATTGCCTTTGTGCAGCCACTCCCCCACCCCCACCCCCCGACCACCAGCACAGTGCCCTTTCTCTCCTTGGGCTCCCCCATCACTCTATTCACACTGCTATACACATCGCTTAGGGAGGCAGTTCACATGGAACATCCACATATGCCTCTGTCTCCTCTACTGGTTAGTCTGAGCTTCCTGAGGGCAGGAGGGATGGCCTATCCAACCCGGATCCCTAGTGCCCCACAAGGAGCAGATGAACCTCTCTATAAATGTTTGCTGAGTGAATGAAATAAGATGAGAATGACACTGAAATCTGTCCCTTCAGGGGACAGGTTATTTTCCAATTCTTTTCAAAGAGGGTCCTTAGATGAGTCCAGTCTTGGATCTCATGTGCTACATCACCTTTATTATTAAATCCAGTTAAAGAAGAGAAAGGACAGGATTATCAGCCATGACACTCTATTCCTCCTTACCTAGAAAGTGAGCTCTCTTTGGAAATGGAAAAGCCAGGGCTGAACTCAATGTTGTAACTCAACCTCCAGCTTTCAGACACAACTATGATGGGAGAGTCCAGAGACCCCGAGAAGATGGGCCTGCTGGGCCCCATGTAAACCTCAGTCTCGAGCTTTCTCCCTGTGTTTCCTGAGCTGGCACATATGGTCCAGGGCCCATGACAAAGTTAAAATATGCAGATGGCTGCATGCAGCTCAGGCCCACTGCTGGAAAAAGCCACTGGCAATCTATGTCAATGCACTAGCATTGAGTGCTAGAAAAGCCCTGGGTTTGGGAGCAAACAGATCTGTATGGAGACTGTGGCCCCCTCTCCGTGCTGATGTCCTTACTCCCAGAGAAGTGTGGATGGTGATAAAACACATGGCCTTTGGAATGAGGTGGGAATTTTAGTCCCAACTCTGACATACGCAAAACTGGGTAACGCTGAATGTGTGGCAGTTCCTCAGGTCCTCATCTGCGACTCTAGAAAGCTCTGAAACCCAAAAGGCTTTTTGTGATTCAGTTAACATCGAGGCCCTAACTGACATGAGACTATTTGTAATCTTTATCCCTCTTCGTGAGACTGTTTAAACGTTTCTTTGCATAAATATTGAGGTATTTTATTATGTGGTGCTGCTGCACTGGGGGTGTTACATAATATATGATCTATAATCTGCATCCAAAAAGTTCTAAATTCCAACATATCTGGCCCTAGGCTTTCAGAAAAGGGATTGTGGATCCGTGATAAGTGATTTTAATTGATTTCCTTGTTTTTAAAATGGAGATAAAAATGGTGATAGTTGCAAGAGATGATGTCCATAAAATACTTAGCATCGTGCCTGGCACTTTATAACCGCTCAAAAAATACTGGTTCTCATTACTGGTATCCATAAAATGGGATGTTCGTATCCAATGAGATAGCACGGGGCCTGATACTTAGAAAGTGTTCAAAACATACTGGAGGGAGAGGAACAAAGGAGGGTTTTGGAATAAGAACATGTTATACAATGAAGCGCAAATAGATGCACATTAGGGACTCTAAAGGTTTATCCATCTGTTCTGTGCTGCAGTCTGACTAGGAGCTTCAGAAGTGGGATGAGTCTTTGATCAAGCCCGGCCCTGCTACAACACCCTGTGTGTGCTGAGGAGGTGACAGCACTGCCGGATATGTGTCCCAAGCTTTACTAACCCCACCTGCTGAGGATCAAATGCAACTTGTTTCCCAGTCTAAGACATGTCAAACGGAGAAACAGGCCAACTCTCATGGTAGAGGACATTGAGGCTTACCTCAGGGAGAGCCCAAATCAGACACACCTCCTAATCCCCTCTCCAAATATCATTTCTTAATTTCGGAAATTAGCATCAGAGGCAACTCTTGAAGCCCATTTCTTTCTGGACTTCATAGATCGCTTGAATCTGCTGACATTCTGCTGTGACCAGTCATCACTCTTGTTGGAGACTTATAATTGGAAGCTGCCCAAATGAGCCAATATTGCGTCCTTTAGCAAAGCACTAGAAATGGGTGTGCACATGCTTCCTGGAATCTGGAATCCAGGTCTCCGGGGAAGGAAGCGTTGGCAGGTGGCCAACAGATCTTTTAAAACATTTTAATCTTTCTCTCTGGACAAAAATGAGGCATTTGGCAGCCAACGTGGTCTAAAAGTCCTTCTCTTATCTGTTTGTCTCTTTTCAAAACTGTATAATTCTGAAGATTGGTGGTTGACTATCTTACCCACCAAGCAGGAAATGTGACTTTGCTTCTAAATTCCCCATTTAGGGGGTAGAGCACAGAATTGGGACCTGCCTAATATGGGAAAGTGTAACTCCAGATCACCTGTGCCCCACTCCTCAGAGGACCTGGTGAACTCAGCCAGGCCCGGTTCCACTGGAGCCCTCCCACCATCTCTCAGGCCCTCTTGTCATGGGACTTGTGGTTTCTCTCTGCATCCACCCTACCACCCCCAGGGGTTGCTCCTTGGTCACTCCCAGACCTCAGCCCCTGCAACAGTTCCCAAATGAAACCACTCGCACACCCCTCCGGGAACAGGTGCAACTGTGCTAAAAACCTGGGGGCATTTCACAAGGCAGGGTCAAGTTGTAAAGCCTGTCATTTCTCTACCTTCCTTGCTCCACCCTCCCCCTCCTCCTTTTCTGCTTCTGCTTTTCTGGACCTTCAGACAGACTTTCCATGTGGCCCAGAAATTAATTCTTCCTTACCCACCCCCAACTTGTCCCACACAGAACAGTTCACACACACACACCCCTTCAGAGAATCTCATAGTTCCACCCCAACTGGGCTAAGTCACGGTGTTCCTTCCAAACAGAATGCTCTCTGAAAGGAATTCTAATGGACCTTGTTTTCTCCATCTCATGTCAGGGGAAAAGGTGAACGTCTCAGCTGAATAACAGAGCGCTCAGGACCCCTGGAAAAGCCATTATCACAGGAGAGCAGGAATAGGGCAGGGGGGATGCAGTGGCAGAGGCAACCAAACCTTCCAGCAGGATAAAGAATCCTCCTGCTAGCCTGTGATTCCTCCCCCTGCCCCTGGAGCCAACCCCTCCTCCCCGCAAAGCTGACCCTGCGAGCCTTAGTCACTTCTGGACCACTGTGGTGAGTCAAGGACACATAGGAGCTGCCAAGGAGAAGAGCAGGTAAGAGGGCGGGGGAGGGAGCAGGAGCTAACTAGGTGCTAATGACCTTGGACAAAACTCCTATCTTTAGTCCTCCACTGTAATGTTTAGATCCAGTATTCCAGGTAGAAATTAGGCCAGCCCTAAGACTCTTAAACCCGCAGTCTTAGATGTATGCCTTGGGCATGTTCTCTGACTGTCTGAGCCCCAATTACACATGGAAAATTGCGCTTCAAACACCCTCCTCATAGGGTTCTTGAAGGGACAAAAGGACCCGGTGTTTCATTGCCTGGTGTCACTCAATGCTCCACACATGGCAGCCATATGATGACGATGCTTTTTAGTGGGAGAGATTCAGAAATTCAGGCTCTGAAAGCAGAGCTGTGGCTTCTTCTGAGAGAGGAGTCTCAGGCCTCCAGGGCAGTACCGCACAGAAGAGTCAAGGGTGAGCCCACCCCTTCACTGTGACAATTGTCACAATCAGCTCCCCTCCCCACTGCCCCCAGCTCAGAGCGCAGCTGCTCGTCACCTTTGCCCCCATTGCCTGGTGCTCAAGATGGGCAGGGAAGGAAGGTGAGGCTCATACTTACAGCAGACCCGCAGGTCGGCCTCAGCTCCCACACACAGCCAGCTTTGTAACCTGGGGTCACAGGTTTCTCTGGCCTCAGTCTCCCCATCCATGAAACAAGTCCTTGGACTTAATTTTCCACGACAGGCTTCCCTGTTTGACCCAAGATAGGGAGGAAAATTCAACCCCTGGGCTGGAATTCTCATTTGATGAGGGTAGCCAGGTAGGGCTCATCTTGCTGCAAGGACCCGCATGGATTCCTTGAATTGATGATCAAATGACAGGGTTGGCAACCAACACAAGTTAAGTTGAACCCAGAGGCTAACTGACCGAGAAGTTAGTGAAGCCTAGGGTCAGGCCCCCTTGCAAGACTGGGCCTTATCTCTCCTTGGGGTGGGTAAGGCCCAAATGCTTCCCAGAGACAAGGAATGCCTGGGGGAATCACTCCAGCCTTGGTGCCTGTCCTGCGGCTGCAGGCGGGCCGAGGGACTGACTCCACTACCTGCACACCCACCTCGGTCCCAGTAACAACCTGCCCCAGGTGGATCTTGCTGAGCACCCAGGAGTCTCCCGCTTTGATCCCAAGGAGAAGGAGCTAAACTAGATGCTGCTCTGCTGCCTGCTCAGGGGTCATGATGATCCAGGCCTCACAACCACCTCATGCCCACCTCCCCCACCCCACCCAGGACCAAAGAGCTGAGTTCTCCGGCGCTCTGGCCCGAGCCACCTGAGCGAGAAACTGCCAAAAGATTTACGGATGTGGCATCGCCAATAACAAGTTGTGAAGCAGAAGGAAACTTTTCTAAACTCTCAGTAACAAAAAGTAACAGCTGATTAACCAACTAGAGGCAAAACTGATTTGTCTTTCTTTTGTCTCTATAATCGTTTCAATAAAGAGGCAATCCAAGAGTATGCAGCCAAAGTATGGCAGGTGCATTAGATAGCTAAGTAATACTAAGCATTTTATATTATTTTCATGTCATTTTATTATGTTGTTTTCTGGATTTTGTCCTATTTGGAGTATTTGTCAGTTTTTGTTATTTGTTGTGATATGTCTTCTCATGTTCTAAATATTCACTTCCATGCGTAATACTGTATTTGCAACTTTGCATTCTTTTTCTGAAAGAGGGCCCTGAAATTGAATAAGCTTCAGGCCCTGCAACACTTGAATGCTCCCCAACTGAACTTAGGCCAGGCCCTGGGCTAAACACTTTACCAGCAGTCTCTCTGTTAAGTCTCACAACGACGCTGTGAAGTCACTCTATTATCCCCATTTACAGATATGAAAACAGAGGCTCGGAAAGGTTAAGTAACTTGTCCGATGTCACACAGCATAAAGTGGTGGAGGTGGGATTCAGGTCCAGGGAGTCAGCCCCCACTGCCCACTTTTAACCACTCTGTCCTCAGTAAACATGAAGGCTCATCCATGGACTAATCACCTGGGTCTCTCTGGCACATCTTCTCACTTTCCCTTTCATGATTATCATACAGCGACTGACCCAAAGCTAGCCAATCGCAGGCTAGACTCCCTGAGGGACTAGCTTCTCCTTGGACCAGCTGGTGAGCATTGGCTCAACTCCTCTGCCATGTCCAGGCACCTCCTGTGTGCCTGGGGTGGACTCTCCTCACTCACCCCGTCTTGTTCATCCCTCACCATGGTCAGAGCAGCGGCTTTTCAGCTGAGGAAACTGAGCTTCAGCAAAGGCTGAGGTCACTGGGCTCCCCCAGAAGGGGGGCCGAGTTTGAAGCAGACCCTCTGCCTCCCAGGCCCAGCTCTTGGCATGGGGATGGTGCTGGGGGAGAGTGCTGTTTTACCTTAAAACTTCTCTGTATTGGTGGGCATTGCAGAGAAATGCTCCCCATTGAAAGAAACATGGTACAAATCCTGAAAAAAAAAGCGCATGGAAGGCTGTTTCCAGTTATGTTTTTCATTAGGAGGGTCAGAGTAAACACAGACGAGGAGACTGAGAGACAGTTTCAGACTAAATTCACGACTGTCTCTCCAGCCACCGCCATCGGAACAACCTGTTCTCTGAGGTACATCTTGTCGTGCCTTTTCTTGACTCCCCTTCAGGAATCTGAAGCCTGGATCCAGCCAGCTTTTCCTTGCTGCCTGGCCCAGAAATCACTGTGCAAGGCTTTTCCCGAGAGAAATAAGGTAAGGTAAATGAGGGGGCTGCACTGCCCTGAGAGCGCTCTGCATCCACCCACAATGCTGGCCCCAGGCCCAAGACTTACCCTGCTGCCCTGTGTTATCACTTTGAATCCTGCAAAGAAAACCCCAGGCCACAGCTATGCTGGCCAAAGCCCTGTGAGGTCCTGCCAGGGGGAGCAAAATAAAGCAGAACTTTCAGTGAAGTCCCTGAGCCAGCATCCCGCCAGCTCCCACTTCTAGATCCAATGCCAGGGAGAAAATGACTTTGTCTTCTTCCAGAACTACTGAGGGGACCAGCACAGGGTTAGGGGGAGAGCAAGGTGCCTGCCCCGGGTGGATGCACGCCACAGCCTGTTCGCTATTCCCCCCGTGACCCCGACAATGCAGAAGTAAATCATTTCAACATTTCACATACCTCATCGTCTGCTTCTCTCCCCTCAGAGTAAAAGACAAAACAGCAAAGTCCTATTGAGCTCCAATCCGCAGAAGCAGGCAGGGCTGGGAGGAAGGGAAGGTGCTGCGTTCCAAGTCCTCCTGTCAAAAGAGTAAACAGCTGTTTCAGGAAGAGGGGGGTAGACAGATCCCGCAGCAGCCAAGGGCTTTGTTCCTTGATGGCCCCAGGATATGAGCTGGTTATCAGGCCTGTTGACTCAGAGCTACAGGCAAAGGCAGACACGTTTCTCTCTGGGCCCATGAGTGGCCTGGCCTCCCTCGCCAAGCGAAACTACAGGTCCAAACTAGGCCTGGTGTTGGAGGAGGGAAGGCCACCGCTCTTGAGAGGGACACAGAGGCCTCCCACATCACCCACTCCTTGGCAAAAATGGGAACTGTTCTGAAGCCAAACAATCCCAAGTGACAACTACCAGGAACAGCCAGCAGAGAAGTAAAAAAAAAAAATGGAGAGAGTAGAGAGAGTCCTCAACTCTTGTTGAAATGCTACCTACATGTTCCTCAAAGTGAAGCCTTTCCTCTACATCCTTTAGGCTTCGGAAGTTGTTTTGTTTGAATGCGATTTTTATAGAATGTTATGAGATCTCCCACATTGCAAACCAAGCTATGAGAACTTGAAAAGGTCATTGAGGGCCAACCCAGCTCTTTGGCTGAATAATGCTTAACCCTTCCCACACTCGCCTCCTGCTCCCAAAATAGAATTTTCCTGCTGGAAGGGGCCTTCAAGCAGTGGATTTTCAAAGGTTGAAACAGCGAAATCTTTTTCAGAAAGCACATGAGGTCATTCTCAGAACCACATTGTGTAGAAGAGAGGCACAGAGCACTTTGGCCAAAGCAGGGAAATGAAGCTCAAGGACCCTACCCCATCCCCCGCAAGTGGCCCCAGACACCTTCCAGAAGTACAGTCTGGAAACCCCAGACTAAGGAGAGGGACCAAAACTCGACAGAAAGGAGCCAAGGACTGCCCCCCCACCCCGCAAATGACGCCCAATCCAGCCTCTTCCTCCTGTTCTCCAAAGGAAATTTCACAGCCCCCTCCTCTGGGGGCACGTGCTAGTTGACCACAATCATTAGAGTCTGGAAGTCCTGCCTAACAACTTGCTTAAGTCTTTCCTGCTGCTATCTACTAAAGCTGCACAAAGGCATACTTTATGACCCAGTCATTCCACTCCCGGTCTATAGTCAAAGGAACATGTACATAAGCTCACCAAGAGACAGGGATTGGAACGTTCATAGTGCACCCAAACCTGGAAACGACCCCAAGGCCCGTCGTCAGAACAGATTAGTTGGGCTCTAGCATGGGATGCTAAATAAGCAAGGAGAATGAACCAACCACAGCCACCAACATCAACAGGATGAATCTCACACACACAATATTGAGCGAAAGAAGCCCTGGATGCTTCCATCTATTTAAAGTTCAAAAACAGGCAAAACCAATCTGGGGTGCTAGAAGTCAGGACAGGGGTGGGAGAGACTAGGAAGGGGCCCAGGGGAGCTCCTGGGGGGCTGGTCCTGCTGTTTCCTGAGCTGGTCCTGCTGTTTCCTGAGCTAGTGGTTACACAGGTGTGTCCACTTGGTGAAAATCCATCACAAATGTGCCTTTTCCATGTGTATGTTAAGAACAAAAATGAACGGAAATCTTCCTGCTGGAAGCTGCCTTCTCTTGGGCATTCTTTCTTCCCCTGACACGGGCTTGAGGGCCACAGGACCCTGGACAGGCTCTGCTTTTTCCTTCTCTTGTGTCCCTGCCCCAATACCAAGCACCACGGAGCACCTCCCAAGGAGCTCAGGGAAGATCTGTTACACTCAGTGACCGAGGAATCTGGACTTTGAGCAATGCAGAAGGGAAAGATAACAGAAGCTTGGAGCCTCCCGGAGGCTAAGGAGCCGGACTAAGATAAACTGGTCCTTCTGACAACCAAGCACCGATCACGGGTCACATGGGTCTCTCACTTTACAGTTTACAAAGCAGCCTCTCTCCTTTATCTCAGTGATCCTAGGGCTCACCCACAAAGTGGTCAGGGAACAGAGGGAGGCTCTGCAAGCCTCAGCGACTTACTCAAGGTCTCCAGCTCATCAGTCTGGTGCTACTCTTCCCCTCTAGCTGCCTCCAGGGGACATGCTACAGGTCAGCAGCATTAGAGGCCCCAGGCTTGTTAACCACAGCTTGAGAGAGCATGCAAACCGGGAAGGCCGAAAATTCACCTTCCAGAGGATCCAACATGATCTTCCTCCTTCCTCAACACACTCTCATGCTCAGACTCAAAACAAAGGAGCACACTTGTGGTCATTCTCTAATTAAGATGCAGAGAACCCTAGGAAATGAGCCTCAGGCTAGGGAGCTCCACTGATCAAAGGAGGCCAGAAGTTGCCCAGGTAAGGGCTTGGCACGGTGCCCAGCCTGGCCGACTAATCTCATCATTCCATGGTCACTAAAGCCCCTTCCAGCCCTAACAACCCATCAGAGAGCAGTCATCATTCAGTACCTGTCCATCTGCCACACCCAAGTCAGAGAAGGTGCAGCCAAGGCAGCTGCAGCCCAGGTATGGGGTGCCCTGGCTTCACACCACTTTCTGCTGGGAAACATGAAGGTCCAGATGCCCACTCTGCTTATCTTTGTGGGGAGTGAGGATTAAGTGTTCTTGGCAAAGAATGCTGGAGACACAAAGAGTGCAGGTTGTCACTGTTCAATTCTAAATATGTTTAGGGCAGTCACAAAAGACTTTCTTGCTCATGCTTGTGCATGATAGAGCAATTTGTTTGGTTAGGTTTTCTGTGTGTCGGAGATGATCCTAATCCCCGCATCTCAGGGTGGATGAGGGGCTTAGAGCACTATGGCTATGAGCACACACTCTGGGGCTGAGCTGCCTGGGTTTGAGTCCTGGCTCTGCTCCATATGCTGTACAATCCTGGGAAGTTTATGTAACTTCTCTGTGCCTTTGTTTCTACATCTGTAAAATGGGAATAATAGCAGTTGGGTGGTAGCTGGCACATTACATATTACCCATTACTGCAAGAATTAAGGAGATGCTTCTTGAAAAGGACTCAGCACAGTGCTTGAGGTACTCAATCATTGTCAGTCTCTGGTGTTCCATTAACCCAGTGTTGCTGTTCCCTCAATTTTACATTTGTGTATCAAGTATATGAGGGGGATCAGAATTGCCCACCCCAAAATGTGTCTCTTTGGCATGAGGATTATTTTGGGCTGCTTAGTTTAAAAACTGCAGACATGGGAGAAGCTCTGAAAAGTAGAATTTACCCTTTGTAAGATACATTTACATTTGTAAGGGAAATCTCCATCTGTAAATGTATCTCCCTCTCTGTAGAAACTCTTATCAGTGTGGAAGGTGAGGATTTAAATCTGCATAATAACCTTACTCTTGTTTAGTGTGCTTTTCTGGTAATCTCCCATAACTGACTCCCCCTACCCCCAACATCCTCCTTTGTCTTTAGCTGAAGATGGTATTTAAGATGAGAGCCTCTGCCATTTTGGCGAATTACCCAGTTTTCCTGGGTTTCTCCCATGTATACATGTTATAAAGCTTTGTTTGATTTTCTCCTGTTATTCTGTCTCATGTCAACTTAATTCAGCCCAGCCAGAAGGACCTAGGGCCGGCCCTATGGCTTAGTGGTTAAGTGCGCACGTTCCACTGCTGGTGGCCCAGGTTCGGATCCTGGGCACGCACCGATGCACTGCTTCTCCGGCCATGCTGAGGCAGCATCCCACATACAGCAACTAGAAGGATGTGCAACTATGACATACAACTATCTACTGGGGCTTTGGGGAGAAAAAGGGGGGGAAAAAAAAAGGAGGATTGGCAATAGATGTTAGCTCAGAGCCAGTCTTCCTCAGCAAAAAGAGGAGGATTGGCATGGATGTTAGCTCAGGGCTGATCTTCCTCACACACACAAAAAAAAGGACCTAGAGTGGGTAGAGGAAATCTCTTCCTCCCCTACAGTTTGGTGACCTGGGTGGGATAAAATTTCACTGGCCAGACACCACTCACTCCTGGACTACAGCAGCCAAGAGATCCTGGACCCCTGACAAGAACTGGCAGGAGGTAAGAGTTCTTACCACTTGAGTCTCCCGGATCTCTGCTTGTACGGTCCAATGAAAGTAAGAGTGGTGAATATTTTCTTTTTCTAAATTTAGATTAGCAAGAGAAAATATTGGTGAAGCTAGCTTTTTGGACTCAGCGACTCTAGGATTTGGTTGAGTACTCATTGGTTAATTGATCCTTATCCTCCCAGAAATAGTCACTATTTTTCCTTGTCTCTGTCTTTTTTTGTCATTTGTCATAAGACACAGGCATCTCTATAAGCCTGTTGTCTGGGAATATGCATATGAGGTGAAAGCTGTTGCTAAGGGCATCTTGGAAGCCAAAAAGCCTACAATTTGGTGGGTGCAGCTCGAGCAGTTAAGAGCCATTAGGGCGCTCGCCACTTTCAGAAGACTCCCGTGACAGGATAAGTTGGGTCACGGAACGGGGTAGATGACACAGGTCCCCCACTAACTTCAAGGAAATGTCCGTGCAATGGTGAGGTACTCTGTAAAAGCACACACGATCCCCAACCCTGTGGCACCTCCCTCCTAGGTATTATTCTGGCTCTAAGAGACCCAAGGTTTAGCTAAAGCTGTTAATGAGGTTTTTTTTTTTTTTCTTTTGTCTTGTTCTGTCTTGAGAGCTTGGCTTTGTGACCTTTCTGGTCTCCACCATCCAGAGGATGCATGTACTGGCACACATCTTGGCAGCCAGTCAAGTAGACTGGGGTTCTGAGGGACTCTCTTTGTCTGGCTGTGCCAGCTCTCAGGGGAGTTTGTCATAAGGGGTCCCAATTGCTTTCATAAGGGGCCTTTGTCATCTCAACCTTCGTTGCTTGCTGTGCAATGATGGCCTTTGCTTTCATAGACTTTTTGGGAGTGAACTTCTGGATCTCTTTTGCCTCTTGCATCCATGGTTAAGCTTATTGGTATGAGTCACTGTTAAGATCCTACTTGTCAATGTGGCCAGATGATGGATCATTTAAACTGGAAAAACTTCTAAATTGGAAAAAAATTTTTGAGAGCTCTCATCATAATTGTTTTATTGGTACCTATAAAAAGGCCAAATTAAAAAAAGGAAATACAAAAAAATAATAATAACTAGCCTTAAGACTCTAACTCAGGTTACAATTAAATTGACAAAAAGTAAAAGTGTAAGTGTTGATAACATTATAAAGGTTAGAATGTTTGAGCTAATTTTATATAAAGAGGTTACATCAACTTTGCCTGAGTATGTTTTAAAATGTCTG